TGTATTTAGAATACGTATATTTTGTACATAATGTTAAACAGGCGACAAGCAAAAAATTGTGGAGCGATTGTATTAAGTATCGGAGCTCCGTAATACGACTCAGAATAATGTGATTCAGTTTTTATGCTATTTAAAATTACTGATGGATAGACGCAAACGTGCTATCATACATGCATGTATAAAACACAGTCAGGGCTACACGTAATTGACAAAAACATAATATGAATGACAGAATAATTGGAATGATTAGAATAATGCATCTATTCAAAAGTTATAATAAATCACGTAAGTGTGTAACAATAGTAATGGCTACAGACTGGTTTCGATATACTTATCCAGCTCATCCAAGCTTGAAATCATGCAATATATAACGACCCTTAAACTAACAACACAAGCATTGAAATGCATCTTCCTGTTTTGATTTGTTTTTAATTAAGTGTTTATGTTTGTACATCGGATAGTGTACTCATCGGCTTATGTAAAAAGTTGATATTTTGCAATGCTTAATATTAAAAACATTCAGGAGAAAGGACAAACGCGTTGGATACATATATTCACTCTTGGCTATTGTTTGGAGAAAAAGGCTTTTGAGATTCACTCATCAGAAATATCATTTGAAACAAAATGCTGTACTTGCGGAATCGGTGTAAAAAGCTAACTGATGAAGATGAATGACGAGTAACCATTGTTAAAAATAGTTTACTTATACATACCTTTACATAAAGACAAGTTAAATGTAAATTTTGAAAATCGCACATGTTCTGCTGAGAATTTCTTACTGCAGTCATTAAATATACGTTACTGCATAAGGTGAATATTATTATTACCATTATTGTTGTCATTAAATACACATCATTAAGTGATAACAAGGCAAATAATTATCTCAAAAGGCAAGAAGAAAAAAATAGTCTGAATTGTTATTTATCTGGCAAATATAGCTCATGATAATCTGAGCAAAGTAATTAATCTTCGAATTGATTTCAACAACACAAAATTAAAAAAACCTATTTCGATAATATTGATCGAGTACGGCTGGGAGTTGAATTTAAGACGCGACTTTCATCCTAGTTAGCTGAATGTACCTGTATTGGAGCATGATTGTTTGAGCAGGGACATAAATAAAGCACACTTTGTTTTGCACTTTGATAGTATTATCCACTGAGCTACTGAGTTCAAATGGCTTGTGTGACCGGTACGAACTTAGTTTTAAAAAATCAATAATTGGACAATTCAAACCATTACATATTAAGTATTTCAGTAAGAATAACTAAAGAATAATCAAACGTTCGAAAAAAATGGAACACTTAAAGTGTTCTAGACAGCTTACCGATGTAATCATATTTCATCCTCCTTCAAAACAAACGGACCTTATTACATGCAAATGCAACTAAGAAGTTACACAAAACTCTATTTTATTTGAAACTATTGTTAGGTTAAAGGAATTATCTATCAATGACATGAAGAAAGAATGATAAGTCATTACGTTAGGTTAATTCCAAGAGTATATCTACATATATTTTGAAATATATTGGTGACTTTCAGTATAATTTTTAATCTTAAGTGAATTTATTTCGAGTCGTCCGCTGCCAACAAACTGTAGCAAACAACACAAAACAGATTCAATTGTTAGGAAAATATCTGGTTTCATACACATAGTTCCCTTTATTATTTTAAAGAGAGCAAGAACAAAAATTGGTGCAGAATAATATGAATTCATTTTATTTCGTTAGGTTCTCATCAGCTGCTTACAACCTAAATTATTTAAAATTCAACATTATTACAGATATGGACATATTTATATATAAGAGTGTGATTAAGGATCAATACATGTGTATGATGATGTAGCGAATATTCAGATAGAGTTAATGAGCTCATAAAATGTTTGATTCGAATAAATAAATAAAGTTTGAGAGGGAAAGTTCCAGAACATTGAAATAGTGATTAGAACTCATGAAAATTGATTAATGGTAATAAAGAAAATATGAATTGAAATCAATCAGTTATGTATGATGTAATTTATATTTCAGAAAGAGTTGCAATAATGACGTAATAAATAAATAAATAGGAGCAAATTAATAGAAAGAGTGCGGGTTATTGTTACCAGGGTAAAGAAAGATTTATTACTGTCTCTTTTTGTATACATAGATCTGGTTTTAAACGTTTGATTGCTAACGCTTCAGCGAATTTCAAAAGGTTCGAGTTTGATTGTTTGTTAATCACCTTGAAGGACTTCAGTATATCAGCTTTATGTCCTGTATCAAGGAGATGTCTGGCGATAGCACTGTTGAATGCGTTCAATCCATTTAACCTTAAACTTTTCGGAATATGTTCTTTGAATCGGACGTAGGCTCTCCTTTCTGTTCTACCAATGTAACTGCTTTGGCAGGTACATGTAAATTTGTATACACAGTTGGTGGTAACATGAAAGGGATACCTATCGACCTTTGATTGTGTCAAAGAGCAGGTTGTTTTGGACAGGACAATCAATTTCGCTGCAGGATAAGTTCTTGTCAGTGCAGTTTTTAGTCTCATATTGATTGATCCTGTGACATCGTCACCTTTGAATTGAAGTTTAATAAAAATAGGCTTTTTATTTGCTGTAATTTCTTTCGGCTTTTTAACTTCACATTTGCCGTATTTCTCAATAAATTTCAGTGGGTATCCGTTATTCTTTAAACATTTTTTAACATTCATAACTTCCTCTTCTAGTGTATCGGAAGTACATATTCTTTCTGTTCTGTAAAACAGTGTTTTGACCAGTGCCTTTTTGTAACTGATTGGACAAAAGCTATTGAAATTAAGATAACTACCATTCCATGTGTCTTTCTTATAAACTGAACGTTGAACTGTACCATCTTTTCTTCTTTTCATCGCGATATCGAGAAAATGGAACTTGTTTTCTTTTTCATGTTCCATAGTGAAATGGATATTCGGATGTGCTTGATTGAAAAACTCTAGCAGATTTATTGCATGTTGTTTATTATTACATACGATGAAGGTATCATCAACATATCTCGAATAATACGTCATTTCATCAATCGCTCGTTTGAGTTTGGTTCTTTCGAGGTTAGCCATGAAAATATCTGCTAGGATAGGACCTAACGGACTTCCCATTGCTACACCATCGATTTGTTGTTGTTAAGCTGTAAGAAGCGTTACGAATAATGTTATGCCCCGATAAGAATAATCAGTGGTAATTTTTGGGATCCATTTGTGGACCAATACTATACGTACATTTTACCGTATAATTGTTAATTAACTATATTCTTATCGATTAAATGTTAAATATTTCTATGGCAGTCGATTGACGAAATCATCGATTAAATGTTTAAAAATACTTCCATGGTAATATCGATTATATACATATAATTGATATATATACGTTTGAATTATGTTTGTGGATCGCTCGTTTCTGGCTGTTTGCAGAATATACTTTCCCATTCCAAGCTTGGACTTCTCCCTCTAGTTAGCGGGGCTGGGATGCATTAAATAGCTAGCTTACTGGTCTTTGGTCACTGAGTCTGCTCTCGTTCGCAGATTAAGTGAACTCGTGATAGCTGCAAACCTAGCAAATAAAAAATTGTGAATTTGAATAAGAAAAATAGAATTCAGCGAAGAAAATTTTCTTTTCGACGCAATCATTTACTTAAGCTGTTCATTCGTATTTATATTTATGTCTATAGAAGGATAGAAAAGATTGCATCATAAATTGATTCGAGACTGTTATTATCAAATGAGGTTACACAATAATCAAGGGGTAAGGAAGGAATATAAGGATGAAAATAATTTATAGGTCAGATAATTGTCCCATTGACAGATAAGAAGAAAAACGACAAACATAAAGGTCATAATAATATAATATAATAAATAAATAATATACGAATATTCGTCAAGATTAGAACGAATAGTTTGACAGAAATCGGGCGCCGAGTAAAGAGAAGTCATTATATGTGAAAACTATATTTGAAATAATCTCAGCGATTGAAATTTAAATAATTCCAACGTTTCGTCCAGCTAACTTGTCTGGACTTCTTCAGGGTAATAATCAAAATCATCAAAGCTTTGACGGTAATTTTCACATATAAAAACTTGTATGAAGTAATAATAAATTATTGAAGTTTCAATAAATTTCACCCCACAATTCAACTTAGAAGCAATGAGTTTCATTTTGTTGATGTCCGATTGAAAAGGCCGGGTGGTTTTTTACAGTGATGTCTACAGTTAAAGGGATTGGATCGAAGGGATGCTGAATCAATATTTTATTCACTGCTGGGGCACTAGCCATCCACGAGCTCAAGCCTGAACTTTGTGTGCAGAAACGATCCGTCCAACCTCTCATCTTTTCTTGGCCCTAATTCCCTTTATTGATATGTCCCGGGCTTTTCCTTTTTTTCTCCATTTTTATTTGATTATTACTGACTTTTTAAATTATTGTTGAATCAGATTGTCAGGCGAAACGTTGGATTTCAAATTCTTTCGCTCAGATTTTACAAATACATTCTTCCTGTTTGTTTTGTAATTTTAAACCCCAATAAGTTATTATTATTACTTCATACAAGTTTGTTTGATTATTCAGTTTATATTATTATGACCTTTATGTTTGTCGTTTTTCTTCTTATCTGTCAATGGGACAATTATCTGACCTATAAATTATTTTCATCCTTATATTCCTTCCTTACCCCTTGATTATTGTGTAACCTCATTTGATAATAACAGTCTCGAATCAATTTATGATGCAATCTTTTCTATCCTTCTATAGACATATAAATATAAATACGAATGAACAGCTTAAGTAAATGATTTCGTCGAAAAGAAAATTTTCTTCGCTGAATTCTATTTTTCTTATTCACTGACACAATAGATTATTTTAATTGTGAATTTGTAATTTTCATCCGATGCCAAACAACAAATACATAAAATGCAAATTTATAGAACTCCAGAAGTACGCAATGATCTGTTCTTGGAAATAAAAAGCTTCATTTTTTTTAACAATCTTTGCGCTTAACCGAAGATCATTAAAGAATACACCTCAGTGATATTTACAATACTTTCTTCCTTTAAATTGACCATTGATGGAACAGTCCAAGACATTTACTGTATAATAATTCTATATTCTTTGTATAATAATCATATTTTGATCCAGTTAAGAATGTACAATCGACCAATAGTTACTTTAACTGGTCTAACCATAGTTGAGACACAATAATCTACAATTCTTTTATACGATAATAAAGACCCAAACAATTCTTTGAATAGAAGTATGGATGTTTGTAGACTTAAACAATGCATTGTGTTTATAATTTGTTTAAGTTAAAATTTAATTAGTTCAAATGATAACACATTATTATTCACGCAACACTTGTGAATATCTTAGATTCAATTTAACAATGCTATAAAAGTTACGCACACAAGCAACTAAGTAAACTGAAAATATTATAATCTATACCTCCAATAAAATAAGTCATAACATATAATATGTAATATAAAGCGTTATCATTATGGTATCTCTTAGTTTATATAATTTTTTTAAGTGAATGAAAAAGTAGAAATAACAGTTAACTTTAATGAGATACATAAAACAGCGAAAAAATAATTTATTTGCAATAAAATCTCTATATTCTTTATTCTTATAGAATGTATTTAATCTGAAAATGAGAAAAAAACGAATGTCAGGATCTAAGTAATATGAAAACTGATACCTCGAAATGTTTATCGGTTTTCTTCCAATAAACGAAACGAAGTTCAGACCAGAAAATGCATATATATATCATGAGTGTTCCTTGAACAACGTCAAGATGAGGGAAAATGACAGTCAATGAGATGAATAATCACTGGAGAAAATGAACTGACAGAGAAGACCAAATCAGTGTTAAAACATTATCGATCATCTCCGTTGCATTTGTTTCTTATGTATAAATATAAGTGTAAATAGACCTCAAGAAATGTTGAGAAGGAATTCAACACATACACACACAGACGTTTTCTTTCTTCTGATAAGACGAACAAACGAATGTTTTGGTTTGATCAGTGAATTAGTTATTTAAATCAAGGTATATATGTATGTGCAGGAGTTGATGAATGTGCAGCAAAATGTATACTTGATACAGGTGAATTCAACTGAAATTAAGAATAATCACAGCATTACCATCTATAAGTACTTTTTTAAATAAAATCAGTGAGACTATAAGTTATGGACGACCTTTGAGCGACGCTAGACTGACCTGGAGTGTCCACATGATGACTAGGACCAAATGTGGATTATAAACCTGTATGAGGAATTACAATTATGATTTACAATTGATGGTTAAGGTTAAGAATTAGATTTAGGGTTTTTATCACGAACTGATATCAGCTATAATGCCAAAACTCTTTTTAGCCAAATGGACGAGTAAATTTCGCGTCAAAATTCAAGATCTGTTAACTTATACCTGATTAGTTCGTCCACAGATTATAGTCTCACCATGAAATCATACTATAAAAAGAGAAAGAATTATAAATAATATAGCCAAGCTGTTAAGTAGATTGTTATAAGAACACTTTAACTATTACTAATAGTATTATAACTGTATTTTAGGCTGACTTATGCAATTACTGCTTACATCACTGACTGATCTTAATTAGGTAAATTGGAAACACGAAGGTACTGAACAACTTTTTCAGTCTCACAAGGGACGACCCAACAGCGCACATTCACAACCACAAAAGCGATGGAAGCCAATACCTTCAGGTGACACAGAGAGCTTGCTAAGTTTAAGTGCACAATCTTGATTTAAAGTATAACTCATTTGAAATGCGTCTATCTACAACTACTTCCCGCTATGATAAGTTAAAATCTTCAGCAATATGGTACAGTTTGAGTCATACATAGTTATTACTTTAGTCAGTCAGCCACAAGGTAGAACCTGCACGAATGTACATCACATCGTTACCATACACCATTAACAGACCGAAATGAGATTGTGAGGTCAGATCCCAGTATAGTAGATTAGTAATTTTATCAGTGATAATAGGAAAAATTATGCATCGAAGATACGATTGTAGAAGACAATATAAATTAGTGAGATAAAAACAAGAAAAAGTTATGGGGATTTTAGAAGCTCAAAATTTGGAGAAAACAAGGAATGGATGCACATGCGCCATTGCAAACGATTTCGAGCCATGTTATTCAAAGTCTCTAACCATCGGTTACGAAAATCATGCGGACTCCAACTAGGTAGTCTTTACCTATTGACACGGCCAAGTCCAATTGTCACTGACTTTATGGGCTGATACCATGTTTTGATTTGGCCACCCATAGATTTCTTCAAGCCTGCTTCCGTACCAGAAAACATTGCGCGTCGAGGTAAGATATGGCTGGACATATGTAAAACATGTCCCAACCACCTTAGTTGATGAAAATTTGCTACATTATCAATCGACTTCCCATCCTTACCTAATACGTTATTCCTGACCCAGGGGTTGCTTACTCCATGGTCCAAAAATACGCGACCAATGCCTCATAGACACCAAAGATCGAATACCAGTAATCTACGAATATCCTCCACTCTTAATGGCCATGTTTCAAATCGATAAAGTAGAACGGAGAGAACTGCTACGCAGTAAATTTACCCTTTGTTTAAGAGCCTTCTGAATCCATGCCGAGGTTTCGTCAGACACTAGACCATCACTACTGATCAGACTCACAAGATAAGTGAAGCGGTCGATAAATTTAACTACTTCACTTCCTATCATTAATTCATCGATGACGCAAGCCATCCCTGAAGCAACGTTTCGCATTCAGAGAGAGAGAACCGCATCCCAAACATGCTCAGGTTGATCAGAAGACTCCATTGTGTCAGAGTCGTTACCAAACAGAACTATATCATCTGAGTATTCTGAGTTAACAAGTGAATCTCCTGGTAGAAGATTAACCCTTGAAAAGACGGACGATAAAAATATTATCTTCGAAAGCATGTTTATGACAAAGTTAAATAAAAATGGAGAAAGAGGAAAACCTTGACGAACACCGCTTGAAGTAACCAATTCCGATGTCAGTTCGCTATAAGTTCTGACAGACGCTGCTATAGAACTCCACAGTCAATGGAGTCGAACGCTTTCTAAAGGTCGAGGAACACAACTACAGTAGGACGTCGAAAAATATGTCCATGTTCCAGAATCTGTTAAGGAGTGAATATTTGGTCTATGCATCCACGTTCAGATCTGAAACCAGGCTAGATTTCTCGGATTCGCTCTTCAAGAGCTCTAGTTAAACATCGGAGTATTATTGAGGCTAATATTTTAGACACTATATTAGTCAAACTGATTACTCTGTGATTTTTGTCCTTTTTTAAAAATTGGAACCATTAGCGATCGAGATCAGTCAGATAAGATTACATCCAGTCCCCAGATTTCACCTAAAATTTCAATTATTCAAAGTGCTAAAACTTGACTACCATTCTTAAAAATCTCAAGGTTTGACCCGCCAAGCCCTGCTGCTCTTCCTCGCTTTAAATTGCTTTTAGCCTTTTCAAACTCTAAGTGTTAGATGACTTGTATCAGTTAGCTTGGAAATAGTGGGTAGCTGAAGTTTGGATGAAGGCTAGTTGAACTGTTCACTAAGTTGTTCTGCGCATTTGTCAAATCCCTGGACAACAGTCCAGTCGTTTTCTGAGATAGTCTCACTGGCAGCTGGATTTTTAATATCCGTTTCCTTGATAAATTTAAACAGTTATCTACTTTTAACTAACACCACTGCCTTTTCCATCTCTTCCGATTTCTCTACCCACAACTGTTCAGGATCATTGTGTAGGCTTTTGACCAACCTATGTTTAGGCTGACTACGTTCCACATCGTGTTCTGAGCCAGACGGACTAAGTTCCAAAGCATCTATCAGTTCTGTAGGCGCTGCTGAAATCGACTGATCTTTCCTAACCTTTTGGTTTAAGCTACTAGATATCACTGCTGTTTCCATAACTCTTTGGATATCATGCTAAGCTTCTTCGAGGTGGATATCATTTTCGCGATTGACTAGCTCCTTCTCTAGTTGTCCTTGAAATATGTTCCTAACTTTATCATTATTAAGTTGGACTCTAAGGGGTTTTCTTACAATGGCTCTTCTACAACCGGTAAGACTCAGACAAATACGTGCTCGAACTAGCGCATGATCCGAGTCAAAATATGTGATCCAAAATAAGCAAGAGTCTACGATCCAGTCCCTTCAACGATGAATATGTGCAATGTGACCTATTACATTGTGGAAGTCGCTACGTCAGATGATGTTTATCATTATTTTTGCCAGAAATAGGTGGTTATCCGAGCATAGTTTCAACAGACGGTCGCTATGACCTGTTCGCTGAGCCGCAACACCATAAGGCCCACCTGTGTCTTTAGGTTTGGTTTAATTTACCCAATTGAGGATTAAAATCACCTCCAACTATTACATCAGAGAGTTTAACTTTTTAAAACAAGGTTCGAACATTACAAGCTCCAACATGCAGTTCAGAGCGTGGTTTTAGGAGACCAGGAATAACATTTCGTGAACTCAAATCATTAGCATCGGTGGTGCGTGGTGATAAAAATAAATGAGAAGGGTCAGTCATGAAGATGGAAGAATTATTAAGAGGTGAGAGAGGAATCCGATCATCAACAAAATGATCAAGGGTGTTGATAGAGGTATGAGGGCGGATATCACTTCCAAGCTGTCCAGACCATGGAAGGACACTTCTTCTCGAGAGACCTGAAAAAGAAGACGAATTAATGGTGGTCTTAGAGACCTGGAAGCGTGACCGCAAATCCCAAGGGATAACTGCTTGAGGTCAGTCGCGCACGACCTTCTTGTGGGGAGTTTTTGATGAATTAGCTCCGCACATGTCCTACCACCACGTCAAGGTAGCAGCTAGGGTGGGCAATTATTTATGGTAAAAATCTAAATCATCATCTGGTAGCTGTTTTTATGTATGTAGTGCTTATTTCTTTGCTCCCCTAGTAATCGCTGCTTGTAATTTTCTACTCAAATTGTAATTAAAATGTATGAGAATGTAAGCTAATGATAACATTTCACTACATTTGGAAGTTATGAATTAGTCTATCCAAGTTTACTGTTAAAGATGTAAAATAGATTAACGTGGCTTAGTTTGATGACTTAACCCCGGGTAGTTAACGAAGTACATTTCTTAATGATGATCTGGCGCTCCGAGTGAAACGATTATATATATATATATATATATTGGGAACTTACCTTTGTTGTGTGAGGTTTAATTTGTGGAGTTTGAAATGATTCGTCAGATATGTCCGAAATGTCTATTTAAGGAAATATTGAGAACACGTTATCCAAATTATTTTTTCAAATCAAAATCATATATATATATATATATATATATATATATATATATATATATAACTCTACCAACTTTAAAAAACACGACAATCATCTGACTACTTATATAACAATTTAAAATATGCAGATGACGTAGTTCTGTTTGGCAATGCATCATTTTAAAATAACCTTGAGCAACATAACAAACATGTTTAGGATGCGTTCTCCTTCCTATCAAACTGAAATTTTCTCAAATGATATTCTCTATCCTCTAATCTGTTTTTTTCTAAGATTGACAGTACTACTGCTTTTAATACTATTAAAAGCATTTTGATAGTTTATTACTTCCCGTTGTATTGTAGTGTTGCGACAAATTCAAACTGATGCAGGTTTACACTGAGTTCTATTTCGCTTCCAACTGACTGAGATCAGGTTTTCAAGTGACTGTGATAATATTCAGAAAGACATTCTCAGGATTCTTAATAGATCACTAAATCCTTAAGTTATTCGTTTATTTTCTGAGTTCATATTGATGCTATCGATTCAAGAGGAATTCTACAAACACACACCCTTAGGAATTTAAATTGAGGTAATCAAAATGTAATACAATAAAACTGATGAGTTGGAAATCCTTCCCATAGAAGTAATCATAGTCTCGAGTTAAACTAAGTCCAAATAGGTAACCACATTGAAATCATGTCAATAACAAAACTGAGATGGCCATACTGAATCGAGTTTATTTAGTTTTCATTAATGAATTCAAACATTTTTATGACTTATAAGCACAAATATCTTCAAAATTGAATCAAAAATGTAACATATTGAACAGTGGATTGTATGATTATATACTTTCAAAAAGACTACCCATAGTAATTCATAAGAATGTCAAGCGAATCAGGTTACAAAAGCTCGACATCTTACCTGGCATAGAAAATGAATGTTTATTAAATCGGTATTTTGGTCTTCGTTTGAAGATTGGTCTACGAAACTTTGTAGATGGGTTGGAATACTTGCTAAATGAGTTTGCGTCGTGGAAACGATCGGACATGACTGATGAATTACAAGCTTTATAAGTATGCACTGTAGTTGGCGAAGTAGGAGGCGAGTAGTGAGAGTTATATTCACATTGATCAGCAGCTAACGCTTTTTTACTAGAATCCATCGCCCATCGAAACATATTTATCCCAACCAAAAAACAACATAGTAGAATAGGACCAATTATGGCACCTTCAGGACCTTGACAGTATATTCCACCAGCAATCGCCAAACCGGTAAAATAAGGATGACCCGCTCTGAAAAAAGCGCAAAATATATAATTATCATATTCGAATGGTTGTGAGTGGTTTCACCATACACCACCATTGATTTAGATGATTGATGGAAATGTTCGTCAGAGCACCAACCTTATACTATTTCTTGTTAATTTATGACAGTAGTCATATAATCGGATTTTAAAATGAATAAAATGGTTCAATAAAGAGTATTAGCTTACACTCATCTACCAGGGCTTATGAGATCTAGTAAGAGCCACAACCCGTCTTACGTTATATGAGACTCATACACTAGAGAGCAAACATATACAAGGTAGATGATTTATGTTAAGCTCAATTATCAGTCTTTAAGTAAACGTATAGATAAAGTATTCAAGTTCTAAGTTAAAACTATTATTTATTACAAGTGTACGGTACACAAGAGAAATTATTCTAAAAACTAAATCCTTATTACATTTCAACAAACGGCACAGAAATCCAGTGCAAACTAGGGATTAAATGCATTAAACAGAACAAAATAACAATCTGGTGTCGAATTTTTTGAAAGATTTGATAAGTTCTAATGAGAATCCTTATTGATAAAATCTAACCACTTTATGATTAAGACAGGTGCTACTTATGGCAAAAGATAATGGCCACGTAGTGCAGTGGATTGACTGATTTCAGAAAAATGGACATCATTAAACAACAGGCTGATGATATCGCGCTTGCTGTATGGCGTGGATTCGATCGTTGATAGAGTCGTGAGGTTGGACTACTGATGTGTCCTATAGTGGGACAAACAGTCGTATAATCCCCGATGGTTTACGACAGTTGCCTAGGTCAACTCAGTCCTCAACTTGAACGATTTCCAAACTGAATAATCTTCACAAATCTCGCATTGTAATAAAAGATTGGTGACTAAGTAGTAAACATCAGCACACAAAATGTCTTAAAAAACATAGAGCTCACTAACCTTTTCGTTTGGGAATTTCTTTTGTGCTTTACATAGAACACAAAACTGTGGGACAAATAGGTATTTAAGAAAAAACACCTTGGAAAACTTAAATCTTTAAAAGTATGGATTTTGACTCTTACAAGTGCTGTGTGTCACAAATATCTATCACCAAACATATCTGTAGAAAAGAGCTGTCATGAAAAAGACAGATAAAGAATTGATAAGAAGAATTATTTTTGGTCACAGAATCTGCAATATCTGAGTCTGTAAGATAGGACAACCAAATGACATAACTCCTTCTGGTTAGTTGTCGGATTCAATTAACGCCTCATTATAAACTGTGCCAACTAGCCACAACACTTTGCACAGAAAAGTGTTTTAGTTCCCGAAAGTACGACCAGAACGTACTGTAGTATATTTTTTATCGATAATTTAGATTTTTCGAATACCAATCATAAAAGCAATAACCATATAAAATTGCATATTTAATATCTGGTGCTAAAAACTGAACTATATAATTGTAAATAGTATATTCGTCATTAATCCAACATCTCTGGCAGCGACAAATAAATTATTCAGTATTTATCAGTCTTCCTCACTTTTGGAGCCTAAGATAGTGAACAAATGGGAACGGTGGTGTTCATAATATAACATTATGAGGAGAGCGAAATCCTAACATACACATAAATAGTCTAAAGAAATGCACTTTAATTTCTTACCCGATCAATAATACAAATAATACAGCATAGAAATACATTTACGAAAATTACACTGAAAATCTGCAATTATTTACTTCACTCAATTGTAGCTGAATGGGGTTCAAGAAACTAATAATATTGACAACGGAACCTCGATTGAATAAACACTTTGTTCTCAAGACTAAACGCAGTTTCATTTCAAACAAAATAATTATTTACTAATAATAAATAACAGAAATAAATTTTGTTACCCTTTAATTTCTCTATAAACTGAAATATCAACGACATATGTTGGCAACAAATGGAAAAGTATGAGAAGACCAGCTTGAGATAATGACTGACGAATTATAATAATCTCAATTGCACCCGGTAGAACAGCCCAATATGTGCCTATAATTGGGACAGCGCCTAATATAGCAGCAAATACTGAAAATAGAATTAAGTCGAAAATAAGTATAATACAATATAAATCAAATCATGAAATAAACTCCTTTCAAATTAAGAAAATTAATTCATAGTTTAAAAGATATAAATAATAAATTCTTAAGTGCCAGAAACCTGTATACCCGATTGTTTAAATATGTTGACAAATAAAAACTAGACAAACTGATCAGAATCGAGGGTTGACTTTTGAAAACTTCGTCTCGGAAAACCTTCATTACCTTGGTTCCAAACCAGTGGTGCACATGGGCTCCAGTATCCTGAGGGAACAAATGGCGTATGAACCAATTATTGGTCACCGGCTACCATGGGACTGCATCTCCCTACGTTGCTCCACCGCCTTGTGGATCAGACCTTTAGGTCAAAGGCTCCGGGTGTGGCCTCCTAAGAAAACCACTTGCTTAGGTTTGAGCACCCGGGCAGTATCACAGCCCTCAAAAAACTCAAATGAGATTTGTATGGCACATATGTATTTGGTGCCCTTTGTACCAATATCTATGTGTTCAAATAAATAAATAAAATAATCCACGCCGCAACGGTTCGTTGCCACAATTGATCCCCAAATGCCCTGGTACGATCGTGGGTGGGGAGAACCCACTGTCCCTCAAGAATTCCTCTCACATGGCCAAGCGAATACAGCTACTTCCAGAGAAGTCCTAATCACCGCGTTCTCGCAACAGGGGTGTTATTTACAAAATTAAGAGGATGAAAAGCGAACGTCCGGCCCCTTAACTAGGTTGGTGGATATACAGGATTCATCTAGGAAAGTTAGAAAATCCCGATTCCAGACTGATGGTACACATGGACTCCGGGATCCTGAGGGAATAAATGGCGTTTGAACTTATTGTTGGTCACCGACTGTTGTAGTAAGCCAATTCAACTATTGTATTATTTGTCTGATCACTGTAATTTAGACACTTAATCCACTATGTAGATTTTTGTGTGAGTCTGATTCGGCGCGTGTCTGCACATCAATCTTTAATCTATTCTCATGTTGATTGTAATACACAGACAATCAATAATTTATCCACAATCGATTAACACTCATAAATATATATGGATTTTTAACACAAACTCATACTCGCTTGGTTTCCCTGTGTGTTTGCTTCCTGTACGTTTGTGGATTTTACCAATCTTAAAAAAATAAACTATCTCTATAACTGATGTTCAGGCTTTTGAATAATCTTGAGTAAATCCATAATTCTACCAGGAGATTTAACCTGCCTTCAATACTCAATTAACGGGATACTATTTATTGGAGTCAGATATAGAGGAAATTAGCCTCTACATCGTCATGGGACTGCATCTCCCACCGCCTTATTAACTAGACTTCTGGGTCAAAGGTTCGGGGAGTGGCACTCTAAGAAAACTACCTGCCTCGGTTTAGGCACCCGGGAAGTATTCTAACCCTTACACAATTCGAATGATGATTATAACTGAGGAAAAATATTCACGTCTCAATCTGTATCTTGACAACTTAAATTCAAAATCACTTAGTAACATTCGTTTTTATTCTACATTGTGCCACTTGTCCATTCACTTTTATTCTCATTCTGTATATTCCTTTATTTTTCAAATTACACAGCAGCAAAGCTTGCGTAAGGAACATGAAGCCCGGTGGTCGGGGCATCTTAACGAGTTGAGAGCAGTAGCTGCACCTGGTAACTGCTGAGTGCTCTTTCAACTCATCCGAGTTGCTTGTATCAAGAAGTCTGGTGTGAGTCAAACAATCTGTGAAGCCAACAGGATCTCAATCAATAACATCTATTGACGTCTTGGACTATGGGCAGAGTTTACCGAGAAGCAGCTCAACTGGTCTGCTGCTCCAGAGGCATCGATCAGATTGTTCTGCCCTCCACGGCCGGTGACAACTTATCCACTTAATGAGGTGGAATTCAGCAAGAAACTCCAACTTTTGAAGTGCCACAAATCATCAGGTTCGTATGACTTACCTCCAGCGACTTCTAAAGATGGTGGCGACTTTCTAATTAAAGAACTGGTTGAGTTGTTTACAAACATTCGGGAATTAGAGAGCTTTTCAACATCGTGGAATGAGTCAATAGTTGTCCCTGTATTTTTGAAAGGGGTTCACGTCATCTATGCAACAACTATCGGGGATAAGTCTACTTCCGACCGCATCCAAACTATTGACTTGCGTTGTATTTCATAAATTGTTCAAACCCCGGGAAAGATTAACTCGCAAGGAGTAAGGTGGTTTTCGTTCTGGTCGAGGATGTATTGATCATATCTTCACCTCCCACCAAATACTAGAACGCTGTCATTACTTATTTACAGATCAACAATCGTAGTGTTCCATGAAATCAAGGGCGCCTTCGTTTCGTTAGACAGAACCGTCCTCTGGGATTGTCTATTGAAGATCAGTGTGTTTAAGATTATTACCATTTTGAAATCACTACATATAAACAGTTCATGCAGAATGAGGGCATATAACCCTCTCTCTCCAGTGTTTCATTCAAGCTATGGGGTTAGGCAGGGTTGTCCGATCTCGCCACTTTTGTTCAACTTTGCCATTAATGAGATTTTGGAAACAGCTCTGGTGGATATAGGTAATGGCGATGTGGATCTGTTGTCTAGAGAAGGGTCTTTTGACCTTCAGTTTACGGATATTGTCTTTCTGTACGATGATATCTAAGCCATGCAATCCTCACTTAATCAGTTGGTAATCAGTGTACGTAGGTATGGCGTGTGCTTTTCACCTTCTAAGAGCAAAGTATTTTTAAAAGACTGGTAGGACCCCGAACTCATTCTGGGTAGTAAACAAAATGTAGTTGAGATGTTCATGTATTTGGGTAGCCGCATAAGTGATGGTGGTGGCGTGAGTGACGACATCAAGTCACGTATAATGAAAGCCAGAGCGGCTTATGCCAATCTGGGCCATCTTCGGTGCCTTTGTGATATTAGTCTGGTTCTAAAAGGTCGGATCAACAACGCGTTGGTGAGAGCAGTTTCACCCTATGCTTGTGAAACCTGACCTCTTTGAGTTCAGGATTTTAGAAAACTCTCTGTGCTTGATCATCGTTGTCTCCAAAGGGTTGCTGACATCCAGAGGCTACACCATGTTAATAATACAGATGTTCAGCAACGTGTATTCGGATACAGCGACAATTCGATTGGTGTCACCATCCTGAAACACAGGCTTTGCCATGTACTATGAATTTTGTCCCAGAGAATCCACATCGTGCATTATTTGTCGATGCTGGGACTGGTTGGGAAAAGAGAAGAGGTGGTCAGTGCATGACATGGTGTCGTGGTATGAAAGAAAGCTGTACAGGACTGGCTTCTTTTGGACCTTCACGACTCCCTTGGTTGGGGTCCTAGAAATGGTGCAACACAGTGGTTTGAGACGTTTTCAGAAATGGCTCAGAATAGAAGTCAATGGCGATCCTGTTGTAACTTTCTTTTACTTCTTTCATAAAAGTGAAAGCAGCTTCCTTAACTCAGAGAATTCTTTCTAGTTGTGTTTTTCCTAACTGAACTGCTGGTCCCATTATTATTAATACTTTGCTCTCATACAGTAATTCCTGTTCACTGTTGCTCTTCATTTTTACTATACTCACCTTCTATTCTCTGTCTTCACAACCTCATTTTTATTATGTGGTGCATATATAACTGGTGCCCCTTTGTATCAATGTTATATGCTCAAATAAATAAATAATCAAATCCCTAGAATTAAGCGGAAGATACAGAGTAGAGACTCTTTTGTATAATTTGGAGTCTCAGCCTGCTGAAATCTATCTAATAGACAAAGGACTTACATCAGAAGCAAACAACTTTACGAACTAACGTCACGCATTGGTTTAACCACCCCTGACTTCCTAACAGATTATCAGATTTCACCAATGTTACAGACCGACAAATATCAAGCGAAATGTTTGCATATGTGCTAGATGTTTTGTAGATGATCATATCAAATAACGCTAGGCTAGTCACTGAAATACAAGAAATACAGACACGTCATAGAATTTTTATTCTTAATGACGATAACAATTATTAAACGTTTACTAAAGTGTAACTATGTGATGACAGCCTTAGGATATAATTTAAGAGAGAATTGCAATAAAAAACACTAGGTAGAAAACGAGAGTAAAAAATAAATCACATCAAAAAAGAAAAACTCCTGGTCACAATAATTTCAATACGTCTGTTCGAGTTATCAATGAAAACGGAAAATTGTGCACAGATGTTGTCACATTTTCTTCGATAATGACACTACTTCTGCTATTACTATTAATAGTATTATTATCAGTGTCTGAGCAGAAACAGTATCACTTGAAAGATGAAGAGATGATCAAAAGATTAATTGCTAGAATTTAACTCTACCATTTAAACTTATGCAAATAAGATATGATAATGAACAAATTATTCATGCTTAAAATAGAAAGTAATTCTACACGACACTTTTCCTCACGTATTATCACATACTATTATTACCATTACCTAACAGGTAATCTTCAATAAATGATTTTACAAGTCGATAATACAAAATGAACTAAGTAAAATAGCTCACCAGATGGAATTATTACAAGATCTAATCCAAATATAATATGAGTAAGTGATGTATATAAACCATAAAATAAAGCCAATTTTAATGTTGCAACAAATACTCCACTAATAGCTGATTCCACAGTTGAATATAAATGCGTAATTAATGAATTAGTTCCAGAAAAAGTTGGTGTTAATGAAGAAATGAAAGCAACAGGGAGATAACACGATCCACTCGCAGCTAATACATAATAGAGAACTGTTAAAAAAATGAGCTGAAATAACAAATAAATAAATGAACAAATACGATTGTAGATAGAATTGATAAAAATATTCGAAAGTCAACTAAATAACTGAATATAGGCTTTTTGGACAAACTGTTCAATTAAATGCATTCTACAGCGGATAACAATACTGTATGATTATTACTCAAACTAGGTGAATAGAAAGTGTACTTAATAGGAAGAGGTGAGTCGTAGTAAAAACAGAACAGAAAATAAACAAGAATCTGACTTAAATTTAGAAATATGAAAAAGTTTTATTCAACTATTTTAAAAGAAATTATCTAAAAAAAATTCTAGTGAAAACTTAGGTCACTAATTATAGTTTGGTTTATTTTAATAGGTTTGCTTTGGTTTCAGGGTAATCAAAAAAGCAGACAATATATTGGTGCAATTGTAATAGAGGGGTAGATTAGATATTTAACGGATTCCGACGGGCGAAGATAAACTCCATTCTCGTTCATAATTTCAACGTTGGACCTGGCAACTAACCACAATGAAGCGGGAATTCTTACTTAAACTATCGTAATCCATAACGCAAGTTGTAACTCGTTCTTCGTCGTTTTATCTGGTTTACATGAAAAATGTAGTTTTGACGATGAAAATAATACTCCATCATATTACTGACGCATCAGCTGTAGCGCAGTCAATTATGATGGAAGCAAAATCACATGGCGAACGTCATACGTCCAATTAATTTTCTAATAAAAGTTATTCCGAAATGGCCGGGGAATAAACTCCACGTCGTTAAATCATCTGAGCGTATCATATTCAGTAATTTCGGTTAAATTTTCGTTTATTTAATCACTCAATTGTAGATATTATGGAATAAAACGACGAAGAACAAGTCACATCTTCAGTCATGGATTACGATAGTTTAAATAAGAATTCCCGCTTCATTTTGGTTAGCTGCCAGGTCCAACGTCGAAATTGCGAGAGAAAGTGGAGTTCATCCTTACCCAATTTCAAAGATTTTGAACGGAAAGACAGGATTAGTTGTATTAATCCACAGTTACATTCATTTTTCATCTTCATTAGAATCTCCTGTTAAGTGTCGATCCTCATTTTTATATTTCGATACATAATTGACCAAATTTCCTCTCTTTTGCTCTGTATTCTAATAATTTCCACACTTGCTGTGTTGATCTGAGCTATGCCAACTTAAATTGATAAACATTCGTGCCAGATCTTAACATTATTTATAACTGACTGTTCTTAACATTAATAAATATGACAAATAGAAAATATCATATATAGGCACCATGATAGACCATACACATATTGTGTAAACAGACAAATTCCTCATTAAACTTGTCACAGTATCAATAAACAGACTTTTATCAACAACAACAAAAAAAGTTATTTTAGATATTCAAAAACCAAATGACAAAACTTAACATTTCAGATAAAGTAATCAATACAACAAACAAAGTTGCAAACCTTCAGTGAATAGACCCACTATTAAAGGAATAATAAAGAGAATTTATTGTAACTGATCACATTAATCAGTAAATATTTTCAGGCAAATAATAATGGTATTAACTAAATAGAAGTTAACAGAAAAATTTAATTAAATGTAATTCAATTAATTTACCTACATCAAACTAAAAATAGAAACGCTAGTATTAATCATACAAACACACACACACACATTGGAAATGAATCAGTTATAACATGTAGGTACTAATGATGCAATGAATAAAGACATGATAACTAAAAATCATACAAACTAACTTTGATTTGGTTAGAAATTGATTGAATTAGTGCAATTCGCTTATATATACTACTAATAAGCCTATATTTTAGACATGATTACAAATGAAGTATATACATATGTAGTTAAATGGCGAACTGTACATCGACTAAATAAGTGCAAAAGGTGTAATTTGCTATGATGAATTTTCCTACCTCTTTCGTAAATGACCTTTCAAATTTACAAATAGTATAATATGTATTATGGAAAAGCATGTAACTAATAATCTACCAGTATATGGAACTTACAAAAGCAATCATAAAATTCATTGCCACATGCCCACCACTCATTATCAATGAAAATAAAGTTGTTATTAACTGAGCAATTAAATTCACATTACTACGCATCAAACCCCATACTGATTCTGTGATAGTTGCAAATGTGCCCACGTTCTGTTTGAAAATCACAAACAACTAAATAAAATTGAAGAAACACGAAAACGACATTATACAATAAACAAATAAGCATCGCTATTATCATTGTTCGTATTTAATGTGATAGTTAATAAAGAGAATAAATTCGTTTGTCTTAAGCATTAAGTTATGACAGAAAAAGTTACGATCCGACCAAGACATCGCATACACTAAACAAAAATCAAATTTGGAAAGATACTAAGTATGTTAATGCTATAAACCAAGTCAAATCCAAGCTTGAAAGAGTTATGATGAGGAACTGGACGTTTTATACCACTACAATCAGTCTGCGTAGTTACGCTCCAAATCATTGTGGCTACCCACACAAACAAGCATGAGTTATTAGTATTATTCATTTGAGCATTAGGCAAATACGTTTACGTATTCTCGCTGTTTTCGCCTACCATATAACTGGGCTGATGAAGCGCTGAGTATCATGAAAAAACAGTCCAATAAGTAATTATAACAATACATATTTGCCTAAAGACTGTAAACACGTTTACAAATAGTTAACTAATAGAAAATAATTTAAAGGACGATGGTTTTTTGTAGACTTCAACCGTCTATTCGAAATAAAAAACTTTAAATCATTTATGCTACAAAAGAAGATATTTTTCTACTTTTGAAGATTAATTCAACCCGGAAAATGAGTTAATTAGATCACATTTTTCGTATCCAGAACTTAACATCATCAATGACCAGCAAAAGTAAGAGGGCAAACATGATTCTAGTCAATTAGAAAAAATAAACAACTGAATATCACTCACTGAACTTAAAGCGTGGCGATTAAATATCCGAGTAGTATTGATAAAAAATCGATTTAATGAAACTCTTCCAACCCCACGTGGAGTAATTGCATTGGAATTTATATGATTATGCAACAAGAACGGTAAAGTTTGATTATTAATGACTGATTGATTAGTCATCAATGTAGTGTTCATTGACTGGGAAAAAAGTACATAAATATGCATGCATGTTAAGATTTGTAAATTGTAATATTAGACGAATTTGAAAGTAACATTCATTAAAAAGTGAACAATACGAGCATTAAACAGATATGGGTAGTAACCTCTGAAATGATTAGTGAAATACTACAACACTATATGGACTGGTATTCGAAACTTGTTGATAGTATAGAAAGTGGATATACTTTGGTTTACAAATAGTAATTTGTGCTGCCTAATTCTAAAAGATATAATCATTGTCGTCATTTTACCTAGTGTCTATTGTATCAATGAAATTTAATAACAGAAATAAGTTTAGTGTACACGGCAGCTCCTGAACTGACAAACGTTTTCCACTTATATGTTACCGTAACGAACAGAACATTTTCTGGAAAATTTAAAAACACCTGAATCTCGTAGACATTTCTAAATGGTATATATATGCTCTCTCTACAGACTACAGTGGTTGGGCCGTGTTACACGTATCAAAGCTCCATTTACTGAAATATTCAATGTTGAACGGAGTATCACTGGGTCGAAGAAAATAAAAGCGGTCAGAGCAATAAACAGCACCACCACATGAAGCTACCATCGTTGTTTAAATCCTGTAGGAAAACATGGCCCTCTAAGGACAAGGTTTCTGAGATAATGGATTTCAGTAATAATTGATCCCGAGTAATCTCTTATTGTTCTACCCTTGAGTCGAAATGAAAACAACAAAGAAATCAATTTGAAAGTTTGAAATATCACAATTTATCTTATCTATGTGGAGGAACCCATGTCACAATATGACGATATAAAATTCCCTACTTATTAAATCAGTTCGTCATAATATTCTCATAAAATCTACACAAATAAACAGAGTGTATATATTTTGCAAAGAAGAAAAGGAAAAAAGTAGAACTATTCACACATTATACATTCATGATACATATTGATAATCATTAACCAGTAGAAGTCATACATATTAATCTGATGATTACCTGATTGATAAAAGAATTATAAATATTCTCCCACAAATATAAAAGTTGTTCTTTTAATATTGCCTTTGAATTCGGATCTGCTTCGAAAAGTTCATTGATCTATCAACATTATAAATTAATCAATGTGATCAGAACAGGAGTTTACCATTAAAAAAATACATAAATAAGACAAATAGTAAATAAATTAATTCATTAATTAAAACCAATACTTATTAGTAATATAGTCAACAATTTAAGTAGGAAATCTAAAATAATTTATCATAACAAAAGGGACAGACAACATCATTACTAAAACTAACTCGAGTTCACTTAAACGCATTAAGAATCATAATGTTTATTCCAAGATATTCAACAGAAAATGTTTTTTAATGTATCCATATATATATATATATATATATATATATATATATATATTCAATGGAATTTACAAACCTTTTCATAGTCAAAGGTGACAAAAGTACAAAAAATAGGTGAATCAATCGTATTTAAATATTGTTAGGTTTGCTTTTGCCTACAGCCTGCAAAACAACTCTATTGACCAGCAAAAGCATAGTATAGGAACAGGCTCGAAGCAAACGCGAATTAGAAAACAATAATAAATATTGCAAAGTGTAAACAGACGTTATGCTATTAGTAGGTCTACTAATGTTCGATAAGAGAACATGGTAGGTAGATAATATCTCTATTATGTAGCTGTTCGTTACCACAACTCAAAGAAAGTATTCTGTAGAACAAACATCAACATTAGTCGGAAATCACAATATAAGTATAGCTACACCATAAATGAATGAGAAGCTAAGTAATAGACCCATAATTAATTCATAACAAATTAAGGAAAGTAAAACATAATGATAGTTTGTGAGCCAAATGAAAAATTACAGTCAGGGTAAATGAGAATACAATTATCTAAATGCCTAACTACTATACAGCAAAATACAAACAATAATTCTTTGCAAGATAGTTCCAAAAGTTACCGCTTTTCTTAATATCCCCAATATAACAGAAGCAACCAACTCTTCTGACCACTTCATATACATCGTTAGTTTTATCAGTCCTGGTGAACCAAACGTCCATGAAATCTTTACGAAAACACCATGACGTTCTGACGATATCCAAGTGTCCATTAAACGGCAAGTATGAAGCACAGAATAACACTCTTAATGAATGGTTAGAGACACTAGTGTCTAATATTCAAAGTCTAAAAATAATTACTAGTCTATGGTGCAAGTACTATTTGAGCACTGTTGAGGTTGAACATAAAAATCAAAGTAAAATATGAAAACTGATCAATAGGGTTGTTGGAATTCGCTTTACAAATATCGAGACAACATAATGTTGACCAATGAAGAACTAAATTAGGTAAAACCATTCATTTGCGAACATATGCTCATAGACTTGACCTTGAGTCATATTATTTGTGTGAGAGACAGTCCAAACTGAAGCAGATGGGGAGAGATTTAAACCTGAGACGCAATGGTTGAAAACCTTGTACTCTAATGACTGTGGAGATTGATGAAAAAAGTGTAGTGACTAAATTAAGATATCTTGCTAATCAGCGAAGTAACATGCTATTGGTTTAAGCTATTTACAAAATGTTGATCTCATAGTGGAGTCTGTGAAATGTTAGAAATCAATTGTCAATATGGTCCAAAACACTGAGGATAAATGTTGTTAATTCTTCATATAACAAACTTCCGGATATTTACACTAACAATCCCTCGTTAATTTATGATAATTCTGTGGATCACTTTAACATCTTATTCCTCTCGTGCTTTTGAGACGTATGACAACTTGGACTGATATGATTCACCATAAAGAGTCCTATATTCTTCTGCCTACGCCCTTTCTCTGGTAATTACATTCTGTAAACCTTATTTGGTTTCAATCCTTCAAGGCCTTCAAAGTATATGTGAAAATTCGAATGAAGGGCACAAAATTACAAAGGTACAAATCACGAAAATTGATAAAGTAAAGAGCATGAGTTGAACAAAATGTTTTGAATGAATCAAACGAGTATCTCGAGCCGTTAAAACTAAAGATCTCCAAGGAGAAAATATTTTTTATTTCTAGTAAGTTGATATATGAAAGAACAACTTGAGAAATAATCAAATTGAACCTACCTTATCGGATATCCAACTTCGTCCAGCCTGATAAGCATTTGTAACTAAAACATTAAACATTCCATCAACTTGTTCCCTTCTAGGAAGCCAACTAGGGAAGAGAAATAAACAATAAAATTACTTGCATTTTACAGAAATATTACGAAATAAGAATAAGTTCAATAAAATGTGATTTTAATATTTTAGTGATAATTCTTGCAAACCAATATCAGACCTAGCAAGATGTGGTGGAAAACGAAGCGAATTCAGCACGAAAATGTATATTTGAAAATTGCAGTGTAAGCTGTATTTTTGTCTATGGAATGGATAATGTTATTCAGATTTTCGAATTTCGGTGACAAATATGTAGGCTAGTTCCAATACTGGACAAAATATAACCACTGAAATAGTATAACTTCAACCAATTAGTTAAAATGTATGGTTGGTGAGGCTGCACTTCTAGACTTAACAGCTTAAAAAAGACTTCGAATATCACCAATGCAACACATAAGATGTTCCAATTGACTGATGTTTTAAGAACTTGGTTTGAAATGCATGGTACAACAGAGACATTTGAAATCACAACCGACGATTTGAAATGAAACAAAACGCTTTTGTACAGGTTTTCAGGTCACATAAATCTGTTGAGTGTAGAAGGATGTGCCTATTTATTTAAATGTTAATGTAAGATAGATTATTGAAAAACTTTGCATAGGTTTAAAGATTTTTACTAAATAGTGAAGAAGGAATACAAATCCGGGTGAAGAGGCAAATAAAATGTGTGGAAAATTAATAAAATCGTCTATTCAGTCATGTCACATCATTTCTGAGCGTATAGACTACGGTTGACTGTGAACAAGTTGTGGCATCAACCGGTTGTCTAAACTGATGGATATACAATTGGTTTAAACCTCTGCTCAAATGCTGTGTTTGTAACATCAAGTTATATCTCATCAGACAAGAGTTTTAACGAGAAACAGTACTGCATCGATAAGAAAAACCTGCTGGTACACTGGAATCTTGCAGGTTTTAATAATTATTGTTGTACCTTCACTGACGAAGGGAAATCACCTTACCAGGTCGTAATGAATTGCATGATACGTTACCTGGTATTTTCCCCAGATGAAACAACTGTCTGAAATTCAACTCGATTAACCGCCTATAATAACCATCGTTTGGACTCAATATTTGGTTGCGATTTCCTTTTCACTATTTCTCTTACATGAAGAGTTTGCATCAAATTGAGTTTTATTTTATTATATGATTGAGTTTATAAATCGATCGTTTAGTTTCTCCATATGGAACTTGAGGATTAGTTCTATGAGTTGCTTATTGACTCAACCATCTCAACTGAGTTATTTATGAATCGTCAGTTATCTAGGTAGGTATCTTTTTAAAAAAATCACTACATTGATTGTACAGAATGATGTAATAATGTATACATTAAAATAAAATTTCTATTTAGGCAGGAAAGTAACAATATTTCAAGAAATCGGATGCATAAAATGTTGAAAAGTTTCCAGATGAATTATACACGTGAAATGTATAAATAAATACCATGTCCTTAAATATCCTTACGTAAATAAATACAAACACACAATATCCTATAAGTGACTAAGAAGTCTAGAAACATCAGAGAAATAGAAATAGAGAATGTTGAGTACCAATAAAACATCAAATCACCAAACAATAACAGTATTCTATAACGATACTATTTGTCGGTAATTGAACTAAAGAATTTTTCAACATCAACAGTTAGTAAATGAATATATTTACAATTGAACAGCGATATATGCCACTGATGCTAGTCGTTGTATTCTCTGACAATAAATATGCACCACGGACGAATCACTTAGACCGCTACCCTCCAATATTTGATTTACTAACTGTTATCAAAGTATTTTCATGAGATTTAACAATGAATAAGCTGCAGTGGTGGCTATTTATGATTGTGCGTAATATTCAGCAATCACTGCTTTATAACAAATTAGCATACAACTTGAAAATTTGTATTATATCAACTTAAAATCAAACTACTGTTATATTTTATTAAATCAATTAAGTTTGAACACAACGAAAATAGTAATTAAGATTAATTTAAGCCATTTTATACATTTACTGTTTGATGTATCAGGTTTTATTTGGTAGGATGAGCTCAACCTAACAAGTAAGTATAGAAAGTTTTATCTATTCGGTTTTGTTAAGATTCTTGAACTCTAAAAGGCGATATCAAATTAACACTTAACACAAAATAAGTCAAGTACTATTATCATTATATTGTTATGAATCGAAAAGCCTCATTGGAAACGTATATCAAGATACCTTATGCAAATAGTGTGGTTTGAACTTGTAACATTTATATTTAATGGGGACTTGGGTGTAAACGATGAACACAGCCGCATACCCTGCTTTTAATCTGCAATTTAATGGCATTTAAATAATCATACATTAGCTGAAAGACAAAGATCAGACGTTAATACAAGCAAAAGACTATGATATATGTTTCGAATGTCATATATCAACAGACTACATAACAACCTACTACTTAATTACGATATCTGATGGGAAAACCAGTAAATTAGCTTTCTGTGAAAAGGAAATAAAGAAAGCATGTACATTGTTCATTGTCAGTGGAAATGTTCTAGTGGCCCAGTTGGATCGTTTGATGATTATTATTGAAACACACATTTTGGTTACCCTAGTATATAATTATCGACTTAATTCGCCCTACAAAATAAAGGAATAAAATAAGTCAAATACGAGAATGAATTTCGAATACGAATACTCTGTACACTCTTTGGTCTGAACAGACAATCAGAGAAACGAAGTGAAAAAGCGAAGAGAGCGAAGCGGACCGGAGGTGTGTGAGCTAACTCAATATGATAGTGTGACTTAATATTTACATTCAGACAAAAATAAATCACAGGCACGTAATGTAACGAATAGGGTAAGCAATCAACTCACATAGATCATATAAAAACAGTCAGGATTAATAAGCGAATAGTTGATAAGGTCAAAATGTCGCCTGAGAAGAATGAATAAATTGGTCTGTCCAGAAGCTAGAATAACCTATGCTGGCTTGGCATAGTACCATCCATAACAATATCTAGGATATCTACTGTTTCAATACCACTTACCTATATGCTTCACTGTTCAACGCTTTATTGATAAAATCACTTGTTAGCGATACCAAATGAATACTTTCATTGTGAATCTGAAAGAACAAAAGAAATTATTATTATCATTACCACTATTATTATTAGTGTGAGAAACAGTATAAATTATGCTGTAAAATTTGTAAGCATCAATGTGGTGGTAGTTGTGTTAGCATATCAATTTGTAACACCGTACTCTCAGGTTCCTACTTTAATTGGACCGTATGAGTCGGTCAGTAAACTTAAAAAACTACAACATACGATTCACAATAAACAGATATCTACGAATAAGAACTAAGAGAATTCAGCGAAGAAAATTTTCTTTTCGACGATATCATTTACTCAAGCTGTACAGTCGTATTTGTAATTAATTTACATAAAACAGTTCACCGAAAGATAGGACGATTACATCATATCATGTGTCGAACAAAGGTATTTGGTAATCGAGAAGTGAAGAGAGACAATAGGATGAAAACAGATGTGAGAAGGATGGTCATCTTGATGAGTATGAGAAGGGTGAAGAACAAATGATAAACGTGATGATAATAACTAACAATCAAAATTAAGGATATTAAAAACACACACAGGATGTAACAAAATCACATTACCCTGTATAAAGACTAAGTGTTAGGCCCATCGTAGAATGATGGCTTGTATGTGTCTCTTTTGCACATAGAGTTCAGGTCTGAAATGATGGGTTGCTAGCGCCTCTGAAGTGCATAAGTTATTAATTTGTGCCTTTTTCAAAACAAATCGTCTGAATGTATAGATGATTTTAAAGGAACTGTAAGGTGGGGCCATGTGATGGGAGTTCAGAAGATTTTATAATAATAAGCTGTTGACTGATTTACATTCACCTTTCGAAAACGACGCGGGATGCGTTTGAAAAACTCTCAGCTTGTGCGACTTATGTGACTTGCTTTACAAGAGCAAATGGACTTATAAATATACAGTGAAGTGGCCCAATGAAAGAGTTTGTCCTTGACACATCCACAAATGATGCGACGGATAAAAAAGACGATGAAAAGCTTAGCCGCATAAAAAGTTCACTTTACGGATTATGTTAGACGATTTTTCAAAATTTCGGCGGAAGTATCTCCCTTGAACTCAATGTCCACACACTGTACATTTTCCTTAGGAACTGTATGAGGTTATGTATGTCATAATTTGGGTTTTCCCGACCGCTGCTGCTACCTTGACGTGGTGATCGGGCTTGCCTATCGTGACGAATCAATCGAGCTATACTGGCTGGAACAATCGTTCCTTAAGGTTCTACCATGCCAGACAGGTCAGTTGAAGAGCGGTAAGACTAAAAACAGCAAACCCAAGTTTCAAGGGTGAAGTCGCACGGCTAATTGTACAGAGGTGTGATGGCAGTAAGGTGTTTACTTCATACAATCAGCATAACAGCGATGCTGCCTTCCCACAATGAGGGGTGGGGTTAGAAAAGGTCGACCCTAAAAATGCACACCTCGCCTTATCCCACGGTTATCCGTCTCCGACGGTAAGGTTTCAATAAGTACGAAGCTAACACGAAAATTACTCACAAAAACGTCGTATGTGACCGACCTCAAGCAGTTGTCCCTTAGGCACTGCGGTCACACTCTCAAGTTCTTAAGACCACCTCTAACCCAATTTGTTTTTCAGGTACCTCCAGAAGAACCCTTCCATGGAGTGGGCAACCAGGAAGTGATAACCGCCCTCATACCTCTAACAGCACTCAAGACCACTGTATTCATAATCATTCTCGCTCGTTCATTCCTATTATTCCTCCTACATCGACTTTCAACTCTAAACTTCCTCTTTCGGCTTCCTCCTCAAGTGTCAGCATAGCCAACGATTTTAGTGCGCAAAACAGTTATGGATCTACTGAAACATCGCTCCAAACTATACACTGGAGCCTTCAACGTACACACCCTATGTCAAATCGGTCAGCAGGCTTCCCTGGCTAAAACCCTAGAATCTCGTACCATTGATGTATGCTGTGTCTCCGAAACACGCATACAGGATCCTAGTGTGGTCATTCACTTGACCTCACCTCGGCAAAACGGAGAGCCAACGAGATACACCCTCCGAGTATCTGGTGACCCGATGACCAGTTCTCGTGGACTGGCAGGTGTAGGCATAGCACTAAGCATGAGGGCGGAACAAGCACTGTTAGAGTGGATCCCCGTTACCAGTCGTCTATGTCCTGTTCGGCTCCGTAAGAACTCGGAAGGATAGGGACACATGTCGGTGCCTTTTCACTGCTTCTGCCTACGCTCCCACTGACTGCAGCTCTGATGAAGTGAAAGATGACTTTTACAGAAAGCTTTCTGAACTTCTTCAGAGAACTAAACGTCTAGACATGGTACTCGTAGCAGGTGACTTTAATCCCCAGGTAGGTAGCTTAAACCAAACAGAAAAATATTTAGGTGGGTATTTTGGTATTCCGGCTCAGCGAACAGATAATGGTGATCGTCTGCTGCAACTGTGCTCAGACAATCGTTTATTTTTAGCAAACACAAATTTTAAGCATAAGGAGAGACATCGTCTAACATGGCGACCGCCTGCACCAAACCAACGGTGGACGCAAATAGACCATATTGCCATCAGTCATCGTTGGAGAGGCCCAATAGAAGACTGTCGCTCATTCTGAAAACGAGGCTGATCCAGATGTTGCTTGGAAAGATATACAAACAACTGTGGAAACAGCAGCGACATCCATTAATGATTTAAACCTAATGGTCAAGGAAAACGAGTGGATTTCTGCTACATCTATCGCATTAATAGACTCTTGTAGACCTATCCCATCAGGCTCTTAACACGATGATGAATGAAAACAAGTCAAATTTAGGTTAACTAGGAATCTAAGGAACGATCGTGAGCAGTAGTAGGCAACGAAAGCAAAAGAGATGGAAAAGGCAGCGACTGTAGATGACGCAAGACAGCTCTACAGACTAATAAAAGAAACCGGAATTAAAAAGTCTAGTGTAAGTGAGACTATCTCGGAAAAAGACGACACCCCCATCTGCTCTCAGTCCAGACGTTTAAAACGATGGACAGAACACTTTAAGGAGCAGTTCACCTGGCCTACAGCTACTCTACAACTATCCACCAATCCCAGAATGCCTGAATGGAACATTGAAGTAGGTCCCCCGACTCTAGTTGAAGTTCAAAAAGCTCTAGCTAATCTGAAGCGAGGAAGAGCAGCTGGTCCGGATGGATTGGCTCCAGAAGTCTTTAAGGATGGTGGGTCAATTTCAGTGATTGATTAGGTTGACTAATATTTTAGCTAAGATCTGGGAGTTAGACGTTATTCCATCTGACTGGTCACAATCACTGATTGTCCAAACATATAAAGGCGTCGAAATCATCCTGTGATAACCATAGAGGAATTAGTTTGACTAACATAACATCTAAAATACTAGCCTCATTAATTATCGGACACCTAACAAAGACTTGTGAACTGCAAACACGAGAAAATCAGGCTGGCTTCAGATCTGGTCGTGGCTGCATCGGCCACATATTCACCATTCGTCAGGTTCTAGAACATAGGCATACTTACCGGCGTCTGACAATGGTGGTCTTTCTTGACTTAGAAGCAGCATTTGACTCTGTAGACCGCGAGATTCTGTGGCAGTGTCTGTCATTGAAAGGCGTACCCCAAAAGTACATAAACCTTATAAAGGCTCTTTACTAGAACACTACTAGTCGAGTCAGAGCTTATGGCGAACTGTCATCTACTTTTGCAACCTCAAGTGGTGTCCGTCAGGGCTGTCCACTTTCTCCATTTCTGTTTAACTTCATCATAGACATACTGATGGAAACAACGTTCTCGTCGACTGAATTCTCGGGTATTGATCTCCTATCAGGGGGTCCACTTATCGACTTAGAATACGCAGATGATATAGTCCTGTTTGGTGAAGACGCTGATAAAATGCAGTCTTTTGGTAGCACTAAGCAACAATGCCAGAATGTTTGGAATGCGTTTCTCCCCCTCTAAATGCAAGTTGTTGCTCCAAGACTGGCCTTCGTCAACACCTGAACTAAGGATATGGAGCGTGAAGTAGTCGAACGCGTCGGCAACTTATCTTGAAGGTCTTATCAGCCCTAATGGGTTGGTGTCTGACGAAATCGATTCGAAAAGCTCATTTGGCTTTTGTCAACTTGCGTCACCTATGGCGAAGGCGAGACATCCGTCTATCAATTAAGGGACGAGTATACTGCTCAGCAGTTCGTTCTCTTCTACTTTACAGAAGCAAAACGTGGCCAATAACGTTAGAAGATACTCGTAAGTTACAAGTACTTGATCACAAATGTCTTAGAAATATAGCTCGCATTTGTTGGGATCACCGGGTAAGTAGTAGTGAGGTCAGGCGTAGGATATTGAGGAATGATGGTAAATCAGTTGATGAGGTTGTGAATCTTCATCGACTGAGATGGTTGGACCACGTGTTACGTATGCCTGAACACCAATTACCACGACGCGCAATGCTAACCGGCGTTGGGGATGGTTGGAAGAAAGTTGGGGGCGGCCAAATAAAAACGTATCATCAGTGCCTAAAGTCACTAACTTCTAGTCTGAGCCATGTTGGTTGGAGTCCGCGTGACTATCGTAACCAATGGTTGGAGACTGTGTGACATGGCTCAGAATCGATCACAATGGCGTCGGTGTATACACTCTCTGTCTTCCCTTAAACTATGAGATTAAAATCACTTTATACCTTTCTTTCTACGAACTAATCCTTTCTCCCTGTATTATATCCTTATATACAATCTTTCTTTTATATATTACTACCATTGAAGTAACTACTTCTATGAATTCGGTGTTCATCTTGTTGTGTTAGTGAGGTGTGACAACTTGAACCGATGCATGTATGTGCCTGGTTCTACTTTGTAGCTGACTGACTGGATTTAGGTTTCATGTTACATCCAACAAACCTGGATGGATACCAGTTTTGAAAAACATATGTCGGAGGTTGTATAGTTCCTCGTCTACCGTATCTCCCGATAATGTTCGCCTAACCCTGGATGATAAAAATTGAATTAAGTTTCCTTTTCTACTTAAAGAGGCCCCAGCTGTGAAAACTCGTGTATTGTCCGTCCCAAGTTGGTTTTCGATATATAGGTCTCTGTAATGTATTTATGAACTGTACACAATAAAATAGGTGAGCGAGGAACTATGTCGGGTAGAACTCATTCACAACAAATTATGTAACTACGCTTCACTACAAAAGTGGAAATTTGCACGCGAAGTCTCTGTGAGCACAAGAGAAAAGTTGCTTTATACAACTAAGGGTTATTTGGCGTTTTATAAAGGCAAGGCACATTGGCTTCAATGAAAGTCTTGACAATTGTTTCATAAATATATTGAGAACCAGTTTATAAAAAAGCAGTAGCTAGCCACTTATCACAGGTCTTATGAAGGTATTCAGTTTCTACTTTTTCACCGTTTAGTACAGTAGATAAAGAGACATATCAAAATGCAACCACCCAATAAAGATTTTAGACTTCGTAACAGCAGAAAAACCGGTTAAAAAGGCAAAAATCGATATCGAGTAAATAGGCTGAAGGAAAAAAACAAAAGTAATAAGACAGGAGACTTGAGAGAAAACAAGGAGTGAATACATCACTGTAATCGATGTGGAATTATATCGCTCAAAGTTAACAATTAATGATCTTCATTTTAACACTTATCGGGGATTCGACCACTAAAACATCATGGCAGTTTTAGTATATTTAGTGATCGGGTCACAACAGTTACTCCACCAAGAGAATATCTTTAGAGAAGCTAGAAATATTTTCCTTTGCTTATTTTTCACCGACTGAAACTAGCTCTTCTTATTAATAATACAAATATACTCATTATTCTTCATATGCTTAAAAGGTTTACCTACGACCATAAATAAGATTTGATTTACTTTTTAGCTATATCGGATCACATTCTACTATTTTACTTCCAATCAAAAAGCTCCCACAAGTAGATTCCTTAAAAATTACAAGTAGACACAGAAAGATACTACAAATGGACCCAAACGATTCATTTATATGAGAGGCAAAGATAGTTGTCAATGAGTTACAAATAAACTGCCAGACCAATTTTGATGCAAATCAGGAAGCTTCCTTTACTAAAACGAACACACAAAAGGTACAGACTGATCTCGATTCTTCAGGGACACAAAACAGTTTTGACCTTTATTGAATCTTGTAACCTACTCTATTCCTTTTTTATTCTACAAGACTAACGAACTCCCAGTCCAATCCAAAATACATATTGAATTACCCTTTAATACACCCTATCGACGAATAAATGTTATCATCCATTATATATATACGGCTCCCATGATAAAAATACACGATAGTCCTAGAACTCTTAGTGTACCTGGAAATCTGGTGAATATTTTCGCAGGACTTAATTCTGTTCGGTTCCTCTTCTTTTTCTCACCACACATTTAAGTGCCAAATTCCCGAAGAATATAACTGAGAATGAATCAAGAGAGCACGAGCATGAATCCCAAGTTATAGAAAAAAAAATTATTTGGCACTTAATAAACACTGGTAGTTCTATAAGCTTTTCGTAAATAGATCCATTATATGCAATAGCGAAATAATCAATTTAATTTTGAATTACTTGGTAGTATTACAAATAATGGTAATAAGAACTATTTGGACATACCTGAAATGCTAAAAACATTGTCAGCAGACAAAAAGTGAAAATAAAGAAGACAAGAATAAAAAGGCTGACTACACTGTCTACCCATGAGTCCAAGTAACGACAAAGCTAAAATAAATTAAAAACCAGAAATTCTTTAATTTCATAGAAATAATATCAATTTAACCGTTCAATATGCAAAACCAAGAGACGTAAAACAAATTGACATATTTTATAAGCCCTGAGGTCATTGCCAAAATAATTTGAAGTAAAGCACTCAAGTTAGTAACTTATATAGACAATATAGTAATGGCATTATTTAATAACCCCATATAACTTTCTAAACTCAGCATCAAGCCACACTTTCATTATGAGGGTTAATGGTACTACCTTGCTGCCCAAACTGAAGTACATGGAGCGAGATTCGACAGCTCCAACTATTATTCCACTACCCATAAACTAGAAAACAAGCTTGAATGCAACTACTGGATATACAAGATAACAACTAATTGAATTTCTAGCCTATCAAGTTAACTTTAGTTTCAAGTGATACATAAAACACAAAGCAGTAGTTTCTATATTGTTCCCGCTTGATTAATTCCATTAACTTATTTAATGTGATCTGAAACTAAGAGTTCATTCCACATTAAAGTTTAAAGGAAAGCGTAATAAAAAAACTGTACATGAGTTGTGCGGATCCACTTGAACAATGTTTTTTTTAAAATATAGTTACTAAATTGAAAAATACTTAACAGAAAACCTAACCACTAATCCAAGACTTACAAACCATGATGGAACTATCAGTTTATCACTTCACTAACAGGTGCATTTTACATGTTCTTAACTTTTAACAAAAAAATGTTAGTTAAAAACAGTAAATTATTCAGTGATACTGTAGTGAACAGAACACGGGTGGGGACAACCGAATTATATTTAGCACAAAATTACAGTTACTTGGTAAAATAGAAAAACCATACTACAATACTTAATTTGCAAAATGTTCAATAATTGTCTCAAACTTCATTGTTCTTGCATTTCCATACTAATTGCTTTCTATTCCCGCTCTTCCTTTCTTGATCTTCCTGATCTTCTGCTGCTAGACATTACATTCCTGACTCGCATCATATACTAATTATATCAATATAAGTAGTACGCACCACAATACTACTCTTTATCTGTTACCTTTACATTGTTAGCAAAAATGAATTATTATTATTATTATTATTATTATTATTATTATTATTAATTATTATTATTATTATTATTATTAAGCATTTTAGCTACACAGAGTGAGGAATATCAGATGAAAAGTGAGGGTGCATTCACTATTCATCTTCCCGATCCAGTCCAGTATTTCTTCACATATACCTTCCCATTCTGCCTCTTTGAACTATATCTCTTTTGTTTAACCTTTCTTGTCATTATTGCTACCATATGATTTCGATCATTTTTGCCAATCTTGTCAGTTTTATCTTCTCATGATAACAGTGGTAATTGCAACTTCGGTCAACGCACATTTCCAGGTTCTTAGTCGATGATGACTTATTTCATGCAATTCAATTAATATGAACGACAACTATTACTACCATCTTATGATCATCGAATATGGTTTTTTTACAGATTACTTCATGAATTTATTTAGGAAGAATTTGTGCAACATGCCTTAACAGTTTACACTATATACAGAAATATCTAAAAGTTATGAAAACATAAATGTTTTTAATGGTTTCAAAATGCATTTCTAACATATTGGAGTACGAGTATTACTTTTATCTTTATAAGATTTATTATTGAACCTTCGGTTACAGCTTCACTTAAAATCTACTTAATTGATAAAGCAAACAAAAATGATATTTTGAGATGTAACGTATATTTATTACTACATTTTTCTCAAGTATAACTTTTAGTGACATATAACTGACAAAAATGTCCTACGGTCGATCTATTAAAGTAGATTTTTATGGAATAGCAGTTATATACACTAGGTAGTGTCAGCACATCTTCAAAATGTCTATGGTACTCCAAATCAATAGTTCGGATTGTTAGGCGAATGGCTCAAAGCAAATATAACTACTTCAATCCGAGAAAAAATATCCTAATTTAATTTGATGGCTGATTACGTGGTATTACGTTATTTTACTACTCTTGAAGTTTGATGTCAAGAAGTAAGAACTTGAATAAATAAAATTATAGGTAGAAACAAAAGTTAATACATAGTCTCTATAACCAGTAATATCTCAAATTAGGCAACTTACTTTTCTATCGCAATATCCCAATAATGTAAGCAATCCGTGCACAGGCCTAGGGACGACCGACTTTAAATAAGCTTTTCTTTGTTCCATAGTCAAATTCGGAGTAATGGTCTGTAATAGACTGTTCAGTTTATAAAGAACCCAATGTGATAGTTCTTGTAATTTTAAACAAAGTGATAGACGAAAAATCCCAAAGAAAATTAAGATAAAACAAATCAAATATAATGGCCATTGATAAAGCCAAATAGCGACGAGAAAATGAGCCCATAATAATGCAAGAAAACAGCGATTGACAAATGAACTGTCAGGATAACAAGTATCGTTTGTACAAGCTGCGTCAAAAATGTTTCCCGATCTAGGAAGTGAACTACCTCTCGCACGAAACCTGTAGAAAAAAATTTTAAATAGGCATTTTAATTAACCTATTATTTTTCAAAATAACGAAGATTGTGGAAGAAAACGATCTAGATATGAGTGGCAGAAATATTACTTGTAGGTTTAGATAAGGATAATTACCAAATCTACATAGTTTTCAAGGTTTACTCAGTTTTCCTCTAAAAATACTTGCCAGCTTTAGTGGCTGCATTGTTATTCTGATGTACTAAACGCAGCACAACTGTGTACAAGCTCAGACATAACCAAATTTCTATTATGACACGATTATAGTTTAATCTCATGCAAAAATATAGAGTCCATTGTTTTGAAGTGTGCTTCAACGAATGAAAATCTCACTTTAAACAACAGAGGATCAGAAATATGACTGGAAATAGACGTTTTATCTCAAACAAATGATTCAAACACTTGAAAACAGGTTATAGACGAATTACAGAGATGGCTGATTGTGACCTGTTCTATTTAACGGTTTCATTATGCATACAATAAAATGTCCGTTAAGGCTATTTAAATTTGGCAGGAAAGAAATTTTTCGGGATAGAAATAAACAATAAGATTATCCGCGAATATGAAATAAGATTAAACTAGTGAAATACTTGTTGGTCTTCTTAACTTAATAATTCCTACTCTCAACTTAGCACATAAATAATGACTAAAGCGTAGTCATGAGTTGTTGAATTACGTTAGTAATCAAATTCAATCTAGTCATCTAGGATACGTAAAACTATGACTTATTCATGCGCTTACCCTTTTCCTTCCAATATTGCACTCCATGATTTTGCGGAAGATAAACACAACTGTTCAGACATGAAAGCTCGGAGCTCACTAACTGGATCAAATCCATAGGACGATCCTGTCTGTACTGGAAGGAAAGCTTGCCTGAAATAAATAAATACATGAGTAAAATGAATACACGTAAAGTTAAGTAAAAACAAAACACTTAGTTTAAGTCAAAAATTATACGACGTTGACATTGTTTTGGTAAAATACAACTGCTATGGTATTTTAAAAAATGTATGCAATTATAATGACCTGTCACTACATGAATAATGATGAAATTCTATTAGTTAGAAATCCTATGTCATTATTATGCTCGATGAATACGACACTGAAATTTTACTTAACGTTAGATATGTGACCGAGGACTTGTGGAACCACATTTAGTGTTACCTGGTTCACTTTTAAAATATCCTTATGATAAGAACATACGTCGTCCAGAACATCTACCAGAGGATGCCATACTCACTAGTGATAATGAGTAACGTTTTAACGGGCGTTTACTTAAATATCCCTTCAAAAAATCCATCATTTTTGATATTTGAAAACGAATACATACTAAGCACTCCGTTTTTGGCTACACAGATTCACTGCATAATAATAAACACTAAACGGTATGTAGCCTGATCATCGAAAATGATCAACGGTACAATACAAAATGACAAATATGTGATTTAGTTACTAAATACATGCAGCCAAAAATGCTACTTGATCGTTTCTAATTTTACACAGTAGAATTTAAGTTGATGACCAGATACTATCAAATTCCGAAATCACTGCTTCTAAGCACTACACAAATGTATGATTTGACTCCACAAGATAAGCAGATTAGTGATGAACGCTGTTGAAGAACAGTTAAAATAGGTATGAAATATTATAACGCAGTGAAAGATCTTTACAGGTTGACATTTAAGTAAGAGAAAGAGTATTTGGGTTTATGACGTGTAACCAAGTATAAGGTGTATCAGATATTTTATAGTCAACTGATGAATACACCTCCTTTAAGTCTGTGGTTGACTGCAAATCATAGACATTCAGTGAATCCAGCTTGGTGACCCAGGAACATAACTATTGAATCATAGCTTTAGACTCGTTTGACTTAATTCGATATAACAAAATACTTTTATCCTATGACAGATAACAAAAGATAAATGAATTATAGCATAACGAGAGTCATATCTGTACAATTTATTACTCTTTTTTGACTGACAAAGATAGATATCATTGTCTAACTGGCATTAATATCCTTACATTAGTTGCTAAAATGGGGACCGTAATACTTGGAACTACTTCCTGAGTTCATCTGACTTAGTGAAAAACTAACCTCAGAAACTGCGACCATCTTAGAGGAAGACCAGTTTGACGCTGTTGTTCTTCCTTTTTTGTCTGACTTTGGTGTATTTGAGTAGAACCCTCGAAAGGCTTACTGAATTCCGTACTAACTTCTGCCAGTGTGTCACAGGAAACTGCACTCCTAATTAACTCGGGAGATCCCCCATCTAAAGCAGTAACAGTATGGCAAGAAGCCCACCGTTCTGCAAACAACAAAAGTTGAAAATTAGTAAACAATCCCAAATAACAAGTTGACTAGCGAAATTTGATGTTAACAAAGTCTTGGGAAGTAATATAACGTCAACATATCATAAGAACATGTTTCTACTATGCTTATATACCCAGTAGATTTACTGAACATATTCAGCTACTTAGAGACTTGAAAAAAGACAGATTTATTAACAAGCCAGTGTGCTGAATACAGCAATCTATATCCAGCATTACAATTATTAAATTATTCGTGCGCTCACAGCCTGCTTTCGCTTACGCGCTGGTTCAATCGTAACTACCATGATGTTTTTGATAGTTCTGAGGTAACTTTTTGAACTAACTACAGTAATTTGCATTATAATAATCCCACTATTTGTTACCAACCTGTTTACAGTAACCAATGCCCTTAAATGTCATAGTACAGCCGAGGGTGGGGAGAGTCCGCTCTCGAAATACTCACACATGGTCAAACGTATACATACACCGTCAGGGAAGTCCTAATCACTGCCTCGTGGAGGGGTTGTTGCTTACGAAAATGAGAACGAAAAGCGAATTTCCGGCCCTTTAACTGAGTTGATAAGTACGGAGGATCCACCCAGAGAAGTTAGGAGACCCTGATTCCAAACCAAGGGTGCACATGGGCTCCGTGATCCTGAGGGACCAAATGACGTACGAACCTATTGTTGGTAACAGGCTACTATGTGACATCTGACGTTGCTCCACTGGCTTGTGGACTAGACCTCGAGGTGAAGGGCTTGGGGAGTGGCCTCCAAATAAAACCACCTGCCTCGGTTCGGGCGCCCGGGCAGTTTCCCAGCCCCCACATAAATCTAAAGATGAAGTGTGGGACATACGTATTTAGTGCCCCTTTGTATCAGTATTGATGTGTTTAAGTAAATAAATAATAGACTTCCAAACCCAACAAGAAATAACAGCTGGAAACAAAATTGCAAAGGTGAAAAGTACCACTGAACTAAACATAAGTGCAACTAAATCACATAACAAAGTCTAAAACAATAATCTAAAGGCTTACAGAAAAAATACAAGCTAATTTAATGTTATCCTGAATGTGGACGTAAATATCTGACCTTGACAACTGCCATCAGCTTCTTCAGTGAAACCCCAGTAGCCAACTATCAAGACTGCAACAGAAAATAAAAATACGGGTATCCTTAGAACCCCACCAAACGATGTACACCACAACAGCAATGAAAGCCAGAAAAAGTGTGACACACTGTACACGAAGTGGAAATTGGATGGTTTTAATAAAGCAATCATGCCGTAGATAATACCTAGAGTAATAACCTGTAAATCTAGAAAACTGAGTTAGACTTACCAATTTGAACGATGTAAATTCTAAGACGCAATCAACGAATGATATTAAGAAGTAAGAGATACTTATAGATAATCCAGGGAGCCAGAAAAAATCAAAGTAGGAAGAAATGTTGAAAGCGAGGAGAAGAAACAGAGATGTTTTAAGTAAACTCCAGTGATCAGACATTTTTTTGATTAAAATGGAATAGAGAGCATTAGAAACTCGGAACGGTACAACAACAGTCTCCACTAAAAGCAACTGATCTTCTGCATCAACACGCCTAACCCATCCACGAATAACATCAGTTAACGAATTTTTAAATGGATATAACACAGTCCCGCACAAAACGGCCCACAAAAGAGGTCTGACAAAAACCTGGAGCGTATAATAAACTGCCAGAATGGCAACGCATATTAAAGAAAGAATTATAAAAGCAGCAGCATTATAAAATGCTTGTCGGATGGCCTTAATTTGAGAGTGTGACAAGCGAAGGTACTGCTCGAAGCCGAAAGATGTAGCTACAAAAGATTCCATTAACTACTGGTAGACGTGATTTTCTTCACACTTCTCTAAGCACGAATGCCAGGATTTACCAGCGTTACCGAAATAAACGTTGTTCATTCGAACTACCGCCCATTCAGTAAGGTCACATATTTTCAAAGCTAAGCAATGTCTATGAAGCTGACAGTTTCACTATATTAAACACAATTTTTAGGTTACTGATGTCTGTTTCTACTTCGTTTATTTCTCTTATCTCTGAGGATCACTGTACTTCAGTTACAGACAACATATCTAGTATTACTGCAAAAAAGGTAAACAAACTATTCAATTTGAGTCACCATCATGGCTTTACGGAGCGTTTCCAAGCCTCTCGGAAGCTTGTAGCAAAAATGGCGTGCTTAAGAGGTTTCAGTGGCCACGGTGAGTTGGACAGCTACCCCAAAGATATCACGTGCATTGAGTTTGATGACGATTTTATACTCAGCATCTGTGGTGCAAATTCTAGATATCAATGACTTAATTATACAGAATGAATTGTTGATAAATACAATTCCAGAAAACGAATGAGTCTGTTCCAATTTCGGTTGTTGTTTCTAATACTAATGAGTACGTCCTAGATAATACAGAGTGCACATCCAACACAGTGTCGAACAGACACAGAATGAATTTAAGGAGAAGACATACAACTGAATACAGAAACCTAGACTTCAATTTAAGCTGTGGCGGATGTAGTGTTTGTATGAACTAATGATTTCTTTGTACTTGATGACTGTATGATTTCGGCATCCAGACACAATACGCCTGTAGATCACTAACGTAGATGATCTATGTCGAAATGATTGGAGGCCTACTCGAGTTAGACGTGAATAGTGTGACGAACCAACTAACGTCGAAGTCACATTTCGTGGTCAGCACCTTACGTGGACTACCCCCATTGAAGTAACAAGGTACTATAGATGCTTTGAAGACTGTACAACACAAAGGACGTTATTACAGAAATATATTAGTTAAGGTAGATACAAGCGAAAGTAAGACCACTGCCGCATGGGCCAGTCCATGGCGTATGATTAACTAATGCGCGTTGCTTGTACATGACCTTGGCAGGGAGCGATGATCTGTTCGACATTCAGTGATCCAACTGCCGGATGATTTGGCTAGGGCTCAGTGACATTTCACTGGCCCTACAGTACTCCCCCACCAGATTCAACGGCCGTTTGAATCGGTACCAAACATGTTGGGAGCAGTCTCGCGCCAGAGAGTGCCAAACGAATATTATAAATCCTCCAGGTATTGCTTATCTGTAAAACAAATGGAAAGGAGGCGGCAGAAACTGGTCGGGAAACAGCGAGTCATAATATGTTAGTAGGACGTTGCTTAAACGTAAATTGATTAACCATAGAAATAATGAAAAGAACAAAACGTTTTATTGTTCTATCAAGTCGCGCTGAAATATATAGCCTTGACAAGTAATTCAGTTCCTCCGATGACAAACGTTAAGTTTGCCGCAAGAGTAATGATGCAATAGCGATAGTAGGATAAGTGTATTATCAATCGATATCCATATTTGTACTGTCATTAGTTTAAAGTTGTAAGTCGAACAGTGTCGTTGACAGCTATTAATTAGTGTCGAATTCTAGTTATATCTATATCTGACAGACTAACCGTAAGTACAGAAGTATAACAGTGAAGAGTGGTCGTGATTTCGTTGTGCGAAGCTATTGACCAACTTGTAGTCACAGTTTGAAAAGTCGATGACTGCTGTTACAGTCAGTAAGGGTTGAAGGCTACAAATCGACAGCAAAAGGTGGCACGATGAAGTCTCTAAAAGATGATAAACGGTGAATGCTGCGTGTTTGTTCGCTTAGTGAACAGAAAAATATCGAAAAGAACATAAGAAACCAAGAGTGTCACTCTGGACTCATGTCAATGATACCCGTGAAAAACGCTGTCAGTGTTGGGATAGAGGCGACAATATCGTTTTCAGTTTGCAGGAGATTCGCTCGACTGCATAAACTGATGATTCGCGCGAATGATATTGTCGTCAGACCACCAATTGAACTGGACAGGTTGTAAATCGTCGAGTAGTTGAACAGCCGATTGATGTACCGGAATCATCTGTTAAACAACAGCCACGATGAAACAATACTTCATAAAATGAAGTACGACATCGAAGTAGAACAACTACAATAGTTCAGATGTGTTACAATGTCAAGTCTAAATAGCATCGTTCTTACGTATACTGACAGTTGCACTGAACGTTCGCTTAGGTATGATTAGCGTAACAGTTGGATGTGTGAATAAAAACATATACGAAAACTATGGTTGGGTTCGTGGAGAATTTTCGAGGACGTTTAGATATTTTCCAAACCCGTATCGCATGTAAATAAACCGAAAATAGAATTAAAATGACTGTCGTGTAATAAGGAAATCGAGCCATGATTTACCGTGTGAATTAATAGCAAATACAAGAGGTATAATAAACATTAATTAAAATGGTAACCACCAATGTAACTAAGGTTTAGAGGGTCCAGGTAACGTGGCCATTTCGTAAAAGGATGATACAAAGAGCTTATTACCTAGCATTAAGTGACATATTAAGTACGACAACATGTGTACTTGGGACATGGACTAAGCGTGGTCGTGTACATGCAATATGTTTTACCACAGTATGTCGACTAACGAGTCATAAATGTACATGATTTCGACTAAAACTTGACGGCAGTGACGGAATATATGACTAGTTTACGTGAAAGCAACTACGAAATGTTATCACACATCATAAATATAGTACGAAATAATCTAATGAAATTATGAAACTCGCCTGGGTTACTCTTGCCTCTAAGTAATGAAGATATGAAGTAGGCAGTAGTTTGAATCTGGATTATGTACGAGGTACTGTTGATTAAATTTTTCGATTAACACAGCATTGTAGACTGACGAACAGTCGTGAATTTCTAGCATTCGTATCCTCTGTTTGGCCATGGAACTCAGCAATTGGAAATTAGGCAGGCAGTGGTAAAAAAAAAGCAGAACATTCTAGTAGATAGTGGTTAAGCAGAAAGATGAATTTATAGTCGATAGTTAATCTTGTCTTATTTATACCAGTGGATAAGGTACAAGGAGATATGCGTTCGTGTTGCCTTGTGGCTATACTCACGAGTGGTTGATATTTTAACAGACATATTACACAGGAGCATTTACATGCTGCTAATGCTTGTTAAAGAACCACAATAGCCGATTATAATCGTAGTTGATTGGTTAGTTCTGTCGATTGAACGAATTATCTAGGTTTAAATGCTAATCAACACTGACATGAAGCAACGAAAGTTCACAGTAACAGATTAACATAGGCGATGATAAAAATGAAAAGGAATTAGTATAGAATGCAATAATAAAGATTATAGTGATAGGTTGCGTTATTCGAAGTCTTGCTCACCAGTGTAAGACCACCAACGTAGATGATCTATGTCGAAATGATTGGAGGCCGACTCGAGTTAGACGTGAATAGTGTGACGAACCAACTAACGTCGAAGTCACACCTCGTGGTCAGCACCTTACGTGGACTACCCCCATTGACGTAACAAGGTACTATAGATGCTTTGAAGACTGTACAACACAAAGGACGTTATTACAGAAATATATTAGTTAAAGTAGATACAAGCGAAAGTAAGACCACTGCCGCATGAGCCAGTCCATGGCGTGTGATTAACTAATGCGCGTTGCTTGTACATGACCTTGGCAGGGAGCGATGATCTGTTCGACATTCAGTGATCCAACTGCCGGATGATTTGGCTAGGGCTCAGTGACATTTCACTGGCCCTACAACGACAATGTTCGATGAGGCCAAACGTTTTCCATCTACGCAGTGGTTAAATATTGTCTTATTTCAGGACTTCAGTGGAGCAATTTGTAATGAGAAATGTGAGTCCACCAAGGACTTTTATCTTTCCTTCTATTCTATGTTACAGCATCATTCATTTCCGACCAGTCGCAGCGTTGAAGCCGAGACTACTCTGGACGATAACGGTTTTGACTAGGTCAGCAGTTGCTGCCGTGGCAAATTGACCTCCAGTATCCAGTGATGCTTCATCACATTTGTCTGGCACGTGCCGTAACAGCACTTATGACAATAAAACATTCTCCACTATCATTACCCATGTTACGAGTACAGCCAAGGTCAAGGTACTCCATGGCGCAGCTTATAATCTAAGGGCCTAACGTTTAAACCTTGCCTATCGGGATTTATATTCGGCGGATAACTGTCAATTCTGGTTGCTGTCAAAAAAGACAGTGTAAAACATTTGTTGGTGAGACCATGATCTATGGACGACTCTTGAGCCATATTTAGATGACTTTGAGAATGTCCACATATCCGAGACCTGTCATCCTATACATGATTGGTTCGTCCATAAATTATAGTCTCATCATCGGAGTGTCAGCAATCCACACAAGCAAACCTTACATCCTCACGCCAAGTAAATAATCCTTTGCTACCAAAAGGGTGTTGTCGAAGTCCTATGAATGCATAGAGCTGAATTACTTCTGATTACCCGAGCTGCCAACCTTGGGGAAATCCCCAGGTCTGGGGAAATTTTAGGGTTTGGGTCTGATTTCCCCAAAATTTACTATAGCGGCTTCCCCAAAATTTCCCCGAAATGGGTCAGATTTTCCTCAAAATTGGCAGCTTGGGTACTTTGTGGTGCTATTATAAATAGTCCACATTCCGACTTCTAAAGTCATAGTCTATTCCATTGTTAATGATCAAGTACATCTAGTTTTGATTTAGATATTGTCTTGGGTAAAGTTTTAAATTATTAATTGTCCTGCACTATTTAACTGAATATAAGTAGATCCTCCACTTACCGAATCAATTTTTCTGTTTCAGATTTTCGTTTAGCCTAATTGAATTACACTTTTCTCGAAAACCATCTTTATGGGCCGCATGCAAGTATATTAACGATTGGAGTTAACATATGCATGAGGTTTAAAGTGCATTGTTTATGTCCACTGCGTAAACAACATACTGGATATTATGATCATCCTGTGAATGTAAGCCCAATGGCATTTTGTCCCCGTTCAACTATAATCAGTTATTTCATTGTTAAAAACCTAAATATTATTCTATTTGTTATAATGAGTGTCGTATTTCCATTGTGAAGTTTATTTGTGGCTTTTTAAATGAGAATAAATGCTTCTAAGCTTATTGGGCATTATATCGCATTTGTATGTCACACGTGACTGTATTACATCGTTATTAGTCTCCAATGCTATGACATGTATAGCCAGATTATCCATTCTGCCCAATTTCGGGTAACTAGCGCTTGGCACGATATTAGTTTGGCATATACTCCTCAGTTGGTCTGTACTAAAGGACCTCATGACTAAATATAATCATACTGCTTATACTATATCAGACTAGCGAGATGTTTTGTCAGCGGTCTCAAATGTCTCTGGCCTTATCAGTCTTTTTTGCTCAATAAAATGCACCTAGTTAGCTGAACAGACGCAGAAGTTCATAAAACTTCCGTCTTTATTAATAAATATTTACTGCGAATATTGTTGTCTATTATCTTATTCCCTGCATACCTCGGTAGATCCGTCGATCTTACCTTATTTTCAATGAAAAGCTGAACAACTGTTCGTTGACCAAACGTGAAAAACCTGGATTACTTTTCTATAACTCCATCGTTTGCTTAAGTTTTTGCAATAAATTACTAATTGGCTGAGAGTTTTTAAGAACTTATGTAACATGCATATGCAGATTCACTCTTTACCTTAAACTTAAGACCTACTAAAAGTGTTTCTGTAGGGAAGACCATACTGGCACACTTGCGTAATAGTGGATATGTTCTAATCTGTTGTATTAACTAATAATTTAGACGTAAACTACTGTTTACACTTAAGCCTGGCAAATTTAGTACATGTTTAGAATGATTTGGTGTATTTCATTTTTAGATATATATCGTGTAGTTTAAACCCATTTGGAACTTCATACAAATTCCTTTTACCTTCTGTCCTTAAGTATGATACATTACGTGTATTGACATTTTCAAAGTAAGTCGACAGCTAGAATAATATTCATGTTGACAACGGTTTAAAATAAGTGATTCATGACACTAAATTTCTTCGATACCATATAACATGCCCATAATTGATAGCTTAGTATAACAAAATCCTGCATTTGGAAGATACCTTTCAAATTAATAGGTAACTGTTGCTGTTTTTGTCGTTTACCTTAATTTGTTAGGTAATGCTTTTAGATTGGAAGCTTACGTACCGAAGTTCATGACACTCCTGTGTTTTGGTAGATTTCGTATAAAAATGAAACATAGTTTTCTTTGGTTACATGTTCATCATTTCACATAAGATTAATAGTGTGTGGTTAGGTTTTGGTACACTGCAATGTATGAATAAAATATACTACTGATCGTTACCAATGTCTAACAACGTTATAACTTCAAGAAGTAGTTGTACACCTGCTTCGGTTTGGGCACCCGGGCAGTATCACAGCCCTCACACATATCGAATGAGATTTGTGTGGCGCATATGTATTCGGTGCTTCCTTGTACCAATATCTATGTGTTAAAATAAAAATAAAAAATAAATAATAAGTAGTTATAGTGATATTGCGTATGCGTATTCATATTTACTTAATTACGAAAACCAATTTTCGTGTATGTTAAGAGAAAAAGCTGGTTTACAATACGTTCTATGTAATAAGTTTATTAGTTATTGTCAAAGGTATTTCCTCCCTCATTTACTTTCACAATCTTAATATGTTAGTTCACTCATTTAGTATTGGCTTATCAATCAGTGGTTTTACTTAACTTCAATCCTAAAAGGCCAAACTGATGTTTGTTTTCTGTGCCTAGTCAGAATTATAGAAAGCTACCATTTGATAACAAGTTACCTTTGTATGCTACTTTACTTTCCTACCTTATTAAGCGTATACACTTCGGTTTGGGTAACCGAGTACTATCATTAGCCTTCATATTTAAAGTTTATTTCATACCCAAGTGTTTGGAGAGTCAGTTAGATTAATAACTACTGACTAAACCCAGTATTAATTGTTAAGCATTTTTATATGTGACTCAATATACTTGCATTGACTTATTCGTGTGACTGATGATCACAAAAACTATCGATTAGTCTTTCAACTAGTTAGTCATTTTTCTCATTCTGTTAGGTCATTTGCCAAATAAAGCACATTTTTGTTTGTAATCTTACTTGTAATTTCAAAGATTGTAACAATACTAATATATGAGATTATTGGATTTATATGGTAATTAAAATTTATCTATGCGTAGCTATGTAGAGTTATAAATTAAATAAGTATTCGTAACAAGTGAACTAGATAAACTGTTATTAGGCTAGTAACTCTGATCTCAGCAATTGATATTCAATTAGTATGTTATTAGTCCAGAGGAAACTCTAGGTGCTAAGGTTTGGGTGCCCGGGTTATAACTTTAAACCTTTGCACGAGTGTGGATCATAACTTGTATATTATAAATTCTCAATCCGGTGCACAAGGATGATTGTCTTTGATGATCCATGTAATTATTAACCTTACTTACTTACTTACGCCTGTTAACCCTCGTGGAGGAGCATTGGCTGCCCACTAGCATTCTCCATCCAACTCTGTCTTAAGTAATCCAAGTTGTTTCCAGTTGCTATTCATCCGTTGAATGTCTGCTTCCAATTTTCGACTCAGCGTGTTCTTTGGTCTTCCTCTTTTCCGTAGCCGTTCAGGATTCCTAGTTAACGCTTGCCTCGTGATGTAGTTTGATTATTTCCTCAATGTGTGTTCTATCCACTTCCAACGTCTTTTCCTAATTTCCTCTTCAGCTGGAAGTTGGTTTGTTCTCTCCCACAGTAGACTGTTGCTGATGGTATCAGGCCAATGGACATTGAGTATCTTGTGTAAACAAGTGTTTATAAATACTTGTACCTTTTTGATATTGGCTGTAGTAGTCCTCGAAGTTTCAGCTCCGTTATACGTTTTAGTTTTAAAACCTATTATTCGAAGTATCATCTGAAAAGCGTTTCGGTACCAACTTTTAATGTATTTTATACATTTTCCAAATGTTATAGTTCTTGAAACCACCTTAGTGATGTTAGCTGATTTATGGTTGCATTTATTAATCTGCAAAAACGTATCCCATTTTCCACTAACCTTTTTAGCTAAATAGTTTTGTAAATTGACTCGTATAAAAAACTTAAAATGCTGGGGAAATAGGTTTTATATATGCCTTCAGTATCCGTGCGATTTTAATGTCTCACTTTTTGTCACATGCATTCTGATTTCTGCTAGAAAAATGAATGCTAAAGACCTTGTTTCCCAGACTAATAGCGGAGATAGAATGACGTGATTTTTTCTCTTCTTTTAACAATTGAGACCAATGACATTTATGATAGAGATCTAAAGGGAGTTTTATGGTGACGATAAAAATACTTTGTGCCTAGAAAACCTGAAATTGTGTATGATAACATTATTAGTTGGATATGCGATAAGGTAAATGTTTACCGATTACAATTGTTCGTTTGACGGTCGGAACCTAATACCAACTACCTGTTCGAGGTTGTTGGGATCCCGTTTATACTCACTGTCTACGTGAATGATTCAAAGTAGTTCAGAAACGCATGTATCTGAGTTGGTCCCAAAGACATTCTCTTTATAAGATCAATCTAAAATTCTGTGGCACATTTGTAGCATTTTGCTGTTAATACACTAGTATGTATTACTTCTTTTTAAGTAATCCTATTCAGTATATATGAGATTCTGTAGTAGCGAGATTTCCTGAATGTCTCATCATATTACTGAGATCATTATCAGTGACATCCCTCCTACTTTTCCCTAATTTCATTTTGTTTTTGAAAGAGGGTACATTGGTGCTTATGCTTCATCAACCCTTCATGCTTGAAATAAATAACATATTAGTGTTTTTAATGATTCATTAAGTTAGTGTTTGGCAGTACAGTTATTTCGATTATATTTCTCTTGCACATTCTCCTCCGTTTTTGTTAGATAAACTCCTTTCCAAAATGTAGTATGTTTTTCATTAGCATTTAAGTTGCTTTTCGTCATCAACGTACAGTGGTGCCCTTATTTTCATGTATTGTCCGGGAATAAAGATCGTTGCTTTAGACAAGATGAATAAATATTGCCTGGATGGAAGTTTTTGTACTCATCCTAGTTTTTTAAATATTACTGTTGTGGGTTGAAAATTAATTTAAATGTTAGGATTAAAGTAATGTTTATTTGGTATTTCATGATGCATATTTTACTTTATCAAAGTCAGTTAGGTGATACAACTTTTGGTTTCTAATTAACTCTTTCACTGAGTTTTTTGTCTTCAGTATACCTGTTTATAGGTTTTAATCTCCCCTATATATCTGTTTTACAAACCAATTAATATCGTCATCTGTCGAAAAACTGTAGCTCATGGCTTAGTTTCTGAACGTGCATTTAATTATTGTGTTAAATGGCTGCATTTCACCCATTTTCTGTTACCTATGATTATTTTTTCAGTGTTCTTTGTTGATACCAATTACATGAATTTCCTTATAATGCCTTAAGGTCAAACTTTTCGTATAATTTTTTAAAAACTTCATTTCAAAACCATAGATATCATGGCAAACAGTGAGAACACCGGATTGTCGAAAGCTGCAACTGCTGGAACTATTTTTGGTACGGGATTATTGAGTTGTGGACGTGTAGACAAGCGTACCTTTTTAAGTGCTCTCCTGGGTGCTGGACTAGGATTCGCACTAGGGATCCTTTCACATGGTCTGTTAAATGGTTTATTACTATTCTTCAAACGTGATAAACAGAGTGAACAATTGCGTCATATGACTGAACAGTTAGCTAGTGTTAGAGCGGAACTGTCGGAATTACGTAATGAATTATATGATACTCACGTAAAGAGTTTGGATAGCAAAGACAATGTAAGTATTTTCTTTACGTTGTTTTCATTATCATATTATCTTCTCGGTAAGATGGTTATATCGAAATAAGATTTTTAATTGTTAGGTGCGGTATTCGGTGATATAAATTTGTACCTCAAGTTTTTCTAAATCTTTAGATACATATCAAGACTAGCTAAGGACTGGGAGACAGATTTCTGATTATCTATAAGTGTGCCAAATTATTGTCATCCTGACAAATTCTGTAGTTGGTCAAAGCAGCGGACATAAGTCAATTGGATTATACATCTTTAGGTTAGCAGCCTCAACATGCACTCAATTTTAAAATATTTCATCATAAGCAGTGTTCAGTTAGTCAGAATTTTGTAGTAGTTCATATTATCTGGACATCTGTTACACATTTCATTGGTTTTTAGAGTGGAAATATCAATTTTTTGCTTTCATACTACATGAGTTCATGATGTTTAAAACACTATATAGTTAAATGGAAATAAGCGAACAATATTATTTTCGATTAGATCCTCATCAGGCTTTACTCTAATATACAGTAATATTTATATGCATATACGAAGTTATTAAACCAATCCTCAACTAAAGGATAAGTTACCTGATTATTCCACTTCTATGTGTATCTACGAATTCAGCTGCTACTGTGGAGAAAGCTATATTGGGCACACTACCAGACAACTGATCCAAAGAGTTAGTGAACACCTCCCTTCGTGGTTAAGGAAAGGTACTTTCAGGACAATACGCTTCTCCGTTCTATCACATTTGTTCGATAGCGGTCATGTAGTAGACAGAAATAAGTCATTTAAAGTAATTTATCGTATTCTTATTAGTTTTCCTTACGGGTTTCTATCTCGTCTCTTACATAGCAGAAGCTATAGGAATTCGAGTCAACAATCCAAGTCTTTGTGTCCATAAGAAATTTGTAACACCTTTATCTCTCCCTTGGCTTTAATAAATGATTTTATTTATTATTATTTGCCATACTCTTTCTTCGTTTATTTTCCTTCACCCTCTCCCACCCTTTTCTTTTTTTTCTCAAATAAACGTTTCATGGTCCAATTATCTAAACACTTCCTATTGCGTAATCTTATAATTTTTGTGAATGTTATTTCAGTGTCTCTATTTTTCTAATCATTGACCTATTTCCCATTATGTAACATTGACTCAAGCCTTTATTATTTCTATCACAACTAGTACACCTGTCATCACACTACCAATTTCTACTTTTCATTTATTATGTTTATTTCTGTAATCTATTCCACTTTTATCATATATGTATATAAATATTAATGTATATTAGAGTGAAGCCTGGTAAGGATCTAAGTCACAATATAGGAATTTTTCAAATGGAAATAAGATGAATCATTATGATGTTATACTTTGAAAGAATCATACCGTTGTGAGATTCGGTTACATTTGAAGTACGGCAATTCGAACCTCAAATAGTGTAATGTATTAGTGAAGAGAATTTAAGCGAACTACATATGTTCATTAGAGGATCGTTCATATATATTTAAACAAATTCTTCGTCAGCTTTAAGTATCAACTATTCATTACATACATTAAAGTCCTATATCGATCTATATTGATGAGTATTTTGTGTTACTATTTTATTTGTTCTAAATTGGGACAATGAATGTTTCTGTTTGTACTGAAATATTCAGTTACATAAATTTCTAAGCATGATTGGTAGACTAAATTAAAATATTAGTTAAAATCACCGTACGATCAGTAGAAACAATAATAATAAGTCCATACAAACTGATAGAGGGGGTTTCTCATATACCAAACTTCTCATACTTGACCAGAAAGCCAATTTCAGTCTTGTAAGTAATTCATATGGCCTTAACATAATTTAAATTTCTGGAAAATATTCAATGTCGCACAATGTGATGTAGTATGCACTACTTAGCGGACGAATATAGATAGTATTTAGCAGGAATGGGAAGTAGAATGCTTACCAACAGAAGAGCAATGAAATCAGTGAGCAATTGGAATAACAACAGAATCGGAAGGACGACTAAGTGTGTAAAGAACAACTAAATGAGAATAAGCAAATAATATGTTTAATGTGTGAATTTCATATTTTACAAAACTACTGTTTGATTTTGCACAAAACAATAAATTGGTTTACCTCTCCTGAGTTTTCGTTCACTTCAGTAGCAGTACACATAGTATCAAGTCATTAATTCTAGTTTCCATATTAGATGAACTAAATTACTCAGTCATTAAATAGGATATCGAAATTTACCAACTATTGCAACGCAAACTTCAAATTATACATTTGTGAACTGTTAGTAAAAGGTTTCTTCAGTAAGCTTCTTTGAGGTTATATGATCTGTTAAACGAAGCTATTCTCTGAGAAAATTATTGTCTTAATTTGTACGTACGGAACGGTAGATATTAACAAATATTTGTTGCTCATTCTGTTAAGTCAAAATAGTGACCAACACCTTATTTCTGTTTTTATTTGTACTCCTTGAATAACATCTTCAAACCCTAATCCTTCCGATTACTGCTTATACTTTTACTACCTCTACTAGTACGGGATTTCAATCGACAATTGTATCTCTGTGCTAATGTGGCATGGCAACTCAAACTGATGTACGTACGTACGAAGTTCTAAGCTGTTGCTGACTGACTGGTTTGCTAACCAGTATGATATGTAAAAGCGAACAGTTGCTGAAAAAACGTGACATGTATTTAAGCATCTGAGGCGATGAGTGTTCATAACCTCATGAATAGATTTCTCTATCTACCTAGTACCTTAAGCCTTACCTCAGAGTTATATGATCTTCAGTTTTACAACATACAACCAATGATGTCATCGCCGCACCAATTCTATTTAGAGATCAGTATTTTTTAATGCATGACTCAACAGTTTGAAAAGGCTGCAACAGATACTAGGTTATTTACCTATTTTACTGGGACTGTTGGCTCTACATGTGTGAACTAGTTCATTAGCCTTCAGCTATTTAATACATTTTGTAGATGTCAACTTTTATGTACAAATTCGAATAGAACAAACAAAACCGATGCTTTCATTTTTGCATCACAAGGTAGAACTTTTAATTGCTCTTTATGGTACAACATCCCATGCACGTCTTCAGCTGTTCGGTGTTACTATTAAACAATAAATATGGTTGTGAATTAACTAAGACTAGACTGAATAGACCGAACAGGTGAATCCCCTTGACGATAGGCTTTAGATTTGAGGGAGATTAGATATCACGACAACTGTTCTCTGGTCGAAGGATTAAATTAAATTCATCTATATATTTAGGAGAGGTGACTCGACCGTGAATTATTTATTCAATCTTACGAAGGTTATACAAAAGTGACAGCGAAAGCAACCAAACAGGCGTTGATGTTTTACCTTCAACTGTTGTGTTAACTTTGGCATTTTAGTATTCAAAACATCACATATGTTTTGTTTATATATTTTGTCTTATCTATACATTACTCTTGTAGGATGACGTCCCACCAATTTTTATAGGCGATGATGACTACGACCTAGATGATGATTACGAAAACTACTTCGATGTGGAAAATTTCGGTGATGAGTAAGTTCTAGTTGCTTTCGAGTCTTTGTCATTATTTTGTGTGCAGCAACTCTCACTTTTCAGTTATAAGTGAGATAAATAAAATCTAAAAAACAACATCGTACCGAAGATTCAATTTATGAAAAACAACGTCTGGATAGTTAGAATTAAACATTAATTTGATGTCAATGAGCATAGTTGGGATCGGGAGTTATATTCTGAAACTTTTAGGTTTAATTTCATCAAAAGTACTTCCCCCTTAAGCGTTATTTTTAGAGTTAAATGTCAGATTTATCAAGAAAACACCCAAGCAAGTCTAGAAGTCGGTCTGTATCTCTTGATACTCTAAGAGACCTCTTATTTAAACTCAGCACTTCATGTTTTCACAATTCGAGAGGAAATAGCTACTTCGATTACTACAGTTAGCTAAAAAAAGATCTAAACAGTGCATTAATTCCATCCATTCGTTGTTCTGGCTTCTTTGATTATCAGCTGACTGTGACTTTTGATAGTGACCAACGTGACTTTCATTATTTTGTAAATTCAGTAAAATGGTTTTGCAAGAATTAGTTTGTCGTAAAATCTTCAATTGCCGGGTTACAGGTGTAAACCCAATCTATGTGTTCTGATGTAAATAGTATTCTGACACGAACTGCGTAAATTTATGGAAAGCAGATTAAACTGGTCTTAACTAAGTTGTTGTGTACAGATCTAAGGCTAATGCATTCTTTGTCAACATTGAATCAGGCTATTAATCTATGGAAGTTGTTTCTGATGTTTAGATTATTGTGCCATCCTTTTCTGTTTTTTTCTCACAATCGAAGCATGAATTCCCCATCGATTCAGTTCAGTAAATTTCCAGAGGAAGTTTTATCGTCGGCAAATTCATTTCAAAGTGTTGGTAGTCATTTAAGCAACAATTCTTATTGGTCGATGACAGTTCAAGTTCCGACTGATGTGCTAGAGGAAATAGATAAATTGGCTGATTATGCTTTAGGTGAGTATTCATCAAGTGACTCACAAATGCATCCTAATGACAATGATATCAATCCAGGCATACAAGCTTACGCTAGATGTCTAGTATACATGCAAAAGGTACGAATTTTTATTCAATTGTTACAGTTGTTCGTTAATTGAATTTCCAGTTTTTTTACTGATTGGTATTCCACAAACATGTATGTGCAGTGGAACTGATTGTAATAACTATACTGTATTCATTATTTTGTTCATATGTCTATCAAAATGGATAATAACGTCTGGATTTTAGTGGTGTTGCATTCTGTGAGCTGTGGTTTAATTTGGAAGATTTTGTGATCACTCTGAATGACATCATATGCACCTGCCTCAAATGCACATCGATGTTTCTAAAATTATATTCCCAGGGCTTAGAGAACATAACACCACAAAATGCATCGACCTAAGCTGCAGTTTTTCTGTCAGTGTTTTTATTTGTTGGACTTATTTGTTGAAATTATTTCTCGAAAGTTGTATTTAGAGTTGAAGATAGTTGGTAAGTGTTGTAACGTGTGGCCTGCAGGTTTTGATAAGCAGCGTTTATATCGATCGATTACAGTAGACACGTAAACACGTAGTGGACGACCTAGTGCCCTGATTCGCTGTCTGTCCTAGCCAGTTGAGTCAAGAACACGAGTCACAACCTCTGAGTTATGAATCATTGTATTGCAGACATACTCTATGTATATACTAACCAAACAAACCACATCGTACCATAAAATAGAGAACAACATTTACACAATATTTAACAAGTGAAATAAACATCGACCAATAGGAAATGTACATTTAAGGTCCAAGGCCACCATAGACTTAACACGATAATTATCGGTATATTTTCCCTCAGCATCCATAACAGTAAGATGCCTTAAAATTGTGCTTCTAGTTGATTTGTATCTCTTTAAAAAAGGGTATTCGCAACTTTGAGAGAAATAGTACTCTATAAGAGACCGAAAATAGCATCAGAGATACCTCTAATATGACGTTTTAATACTTACTGTGAGTAAAATCTAAAAGTATTGGTCGTTAGATCTTTGTTGGGTGATTTGCTGTAATTCTGGATTGGAAACTGATAACGAGTTTGCCTGTCAATAACGCTCGAACAAAAAGTACTTACTTACTTACTTACGCCTGTTACTTCTAATGGAGCATAGGCCGCCGACCAGCACTCTCCAACCCACTCTGTCCTGGGCCTTCTTTTCTAATTCCATCCAATTCTTGTTCATTTTTCCCGTGTCTATCTCCATTTCCCGGCGTAATGTGTTCTTTGGTCTTCCTCTTTTCCTTTGGCCTTCAGGATCCCATGTGAGGGCTTGCCTTGTGACGCAGTTGGGTGCTTCCCTCAATGTGTGTCCTATCCACTTCCAGCGCTTCTTCCTAATTTCTTCCTCCACTGGGATCCGGTTTATTCTTTCCCACAGTTGGTTGTTGCTAATATTGTCCGCCCAATGGATCCGAAGTATTTTGCGTAGACAACTGTTAATAAACACTTGTATCTTCTGGATGATGGCTTTCGTAGTTCTCCAGGTTTCCTCCCCATACAGTAGAACTGTCTTGACATTTGTATTGAAAATCCTGACCTTGGTGTTGGTTGACAGTTGTTTTTAGTTCCAGAGGTTCCTCAGTTGTAAATATGCTGCTCTTGCTTTGCAGATCCGCGCATTCACATCTGCATCAGATCCACTCTGTTCATCAATGATACTGCCCAGATATGTAAAGGTTTTTACATCTTCCAAATCTTCTCCGTCAATTTTGATTGGATTGGTGCATGCTGTGTTTTATCGGAGAATCCTGCTTTTCCCTTTGTGTATATTGAGACCTACTGCTGCTGAGGCTGCTGCCACACTGTTCGTCTTCTCCTGCATCTGTTGTTGCGTTTGGGATAGAAGGGCCAGATCATCTGCGAAGTCTAGATCGTCCAACCGCATCCTAGATGTCCATCGTATCCCGCGTTTCCCTTCAGATGTTGACGTATTCATGATCCAGTCGACCACCAAGGGAACGAGAAAGGGTGAGAGTAAGCAACCTTGCCTAACACTGGTCTTCACTTCGAACGACTTTGTCAACTGTCCTCCATGCACAATTTTGCAGTGTAATCCATCATATGAGTTTTGTATGGTATTGACTATCTTCTGGGGCACGCCGTAGTGTCGAAGAAGTTTCCATAGTGTTGTTCTGTCCACGCTATCAAATGCTTTCTCGTAGTCAATGAAGTTGATGTAGAGTGATGAATTCCATTCAATTGATTGTTCCACAATTATCCGTAGAGTTGCGATTTGGTCTGTACACGATCTATCCTTAAGGAATTCTGCCTGTTGGTCTCGAAGTTAGGCGTCTACGAAATCATTCATTCTATTTAACAATACCCTGTTGAAGACTTTTCCCGGTATTGAGAGAAGAGTGATGCCCCTGTAGTTATCACAGTTGCTGAGATCGCCTTTCTTCGGTATTTTGACCAGAAGTCCTTCTTCCCAGTCTGCTGGTACTTGTTCCTCATCCCAAATCTTATTGAAGAGAATGTGGAGTATCCTCGCAGTTGCGTGCCTCTGCCGGAATGTTTTCTGGTCCTGCTGCTTTGTCACTCTTGATTTGTCTGATGGCCATGCTGATTTCTTCAATTGTTGGTGGGCCAACATTGTTTGGGAGGTCTTTGGGTGCTGCTTCGATATTGGGTGGGTTCAGTGGGGCTGGTCGATTCAAGAGTTCTTTGAAGTGTTCTACCCACCTGTTTCGTTTTTCTTCAATATTGGTGATTACCTTGCCGTCCTTGCTTTTCACAGTTCGCTCCGGTTTACGGTGATTTCCAGAGAGTTTCTTTGTCGTGTCATACAGTTGTCTCATGTTCCCTTCTCTTGCAGCCTTTTCCGCCGTCATTGCTAAATCTTCCACATATTTACGTTTGTCGGTTCTAATGCCCCTCTTCACTTGTTTGTTTACTTCTGTGTATTCAGCTTGTGCTTGGACTTTCTTTGCTAGTGTTCGGCTGGCATTGATTGCTGCTTTCTTGTTCCTCCTTTCTAGAATCTTATCCAGTGTATCAACAGTGATCCACTCCTTGTGATGATGCTTCTTGTGGCCCAGAACCTCATGGCATGTTGAAGTGATTGCCTCTTTGATCCCCTTCCAGTTGCTCTCCATAGTAGTTCCTTCTCCATTGAGATCATGAAAGGCCTGGAACTTATTGCCGAGGACTATCTTGAATTTGTTGAGTTTGTCAGTATCCGGAAGAAAAGCCGTATTGAACATTTGTGATATTCTCCGCCCCATTGTTCGGTGCTTCTTAAGTTTCACTTTCATCTTGGCGACCAGTAAGTGATGATCTGATGCTATATCAGCTCCTCTCTTGGTTTTGACGTCCTCCATCGTCCTACTGAACTTTTTGTTGATGCAGGTATGGTCGATTTGGTTTTGCGTGGTGTGATCCGGTGAAGTCCATGTGCTTTTGTGAATGCGCTTATGTGGGAATATGGTGCCGCCTATGATCAGTTTATTGAAGGCACATAGGTTTGCAAATCTCACCATTTTCGTTCCTTTCTCCCAGTCCGTGTCGTCCCATGATGTCTTCATATCCAGTGTTGTCCGTTCCAACCTTGGCATTTAGATTTCCCATCAGAATGGTCAGGTCCTTTGTTGGGCACTTCTCGATGATCGACTGCAGCTTATTGTAGAATTGATCTTTAGCGTCTTCATTGTAGTCGTTGGTAGGCGCATAGCATTGGATGATGTTCATTGAAATGCCATCTTTCTTTGTTTTGAAGGAGGCTTTGATGATCCTTGGTCCATGAGATTACCATCCTATAAGTGCACTTTGTGCTTGTTTGGACAGCATCAATGCAACTCCTTGTGTGTGGGGCATTTTCTTCTTCATGGCTGGAGTATAACAGAAGCTCTCCTGAAGTTAGTCGTTGTTGTCCAACTTGCGTCCAATGTGTTTCACTGATCCCAAGCACCTCCAGGTTGTATCTCCTTATTTCTGCAGCAATTTGGAATGCTCTCCCGGTGTCCCACATTATACAAGCTTTCCATGTACCTAAATAGATGGTTGCTCTGGTTGTCAGAAGGGGCATCGGCCTCGTAACTTCCGAAGGAACTCGGCTTTCATCATGAGGCGTTATAGTTCTCCTAAGTGAAGACCTTTTGACTCCCAGGGCAGAGTTTAAAGGGTTCGAGTAATTTTTTCTGGTTAGCGTTTTTTTAGCGAGTTATTTTTCTACGGGACGGGGTCGCTAACCCCATGTCCAACCCTCCTCCTTTATCCGGGCTTGGGACCGGCAGTAGCCCCCAGAGGGACTCCAGGCGGAGTAGAATGAGAAATGAAAGAAAAATTTAGTCAGTAGGGTTGTATTTCATTTTGGATATATTACAAGCGAAATGTGATGGCACATGTAAATTGTACATAAAGTAAGCATTATCAAATGTAAATGTTATCTTGGATTATAGATATCATCACCAAGATAAGACTTGGTAATTTCAAATAAGTTGAGAACTGCGTAGAATGTTAATAATAAAGTAATGATATATTTGTAATATATTAATGTGTAGAAATTAGTATTTCTGACGTTTTGTGATTTAGTGTAAGGCATTTTTTCAGAGTAAATCAATAAGTAACTGAATTAGATCAACATAAGTTTAAATAGCATAAAGGAACTGAGCGTAATTCAATCTTAATATTCAGTTCGCACCAAATGAATACCGATTTTTGAGATATTTTGGCAATTCTTCCTGGCATATTTTAACACTCAAACTAATGACAAGTATCGGTGATTTTGCCCAAGTTTTTTATCTATAACATTTTATAGGATTAAAACTGTCGATTGTGGTAACTCATATATAATTCTAATTGTAACAGATGTATGAATTTTCATGCAGTTACAGAGTATTAAATTTTGTTTCTTAATTTTTAAACATAATGTGAATGTACAATTGTATTATTGGTTCGAATTTTTCTGTTTCACATTTGTTATAGTATCGCTATTGCCCAGAATTCTTGTGGCGTTTAGCTCGTGCTACCTACATAGCCAGTGTAGAAGCGCCATTAGATGAAGCTGTGTCACAAAAGGATGATGCATCACACGGTCATCATACCTTAAATGATATTGCTTATAAAGTGCAAACTCGTCGACAGTTTATTGAGTCAGGAATAAAACATGCACGTCGAGCGTTAAGTCTCGCACAAAGAGCTCCTCCATCACCGCTGGATAACGATCCAACAAAACTAGCTCCAATATATAAATGGTTAGCTATTTTAGTTGGTGTCTATTCATCTTACCTCAGTGCTCAACAAAGAATACAGTATGGTTATGAATTTAAGGCAAGTTATCTAGATGTACTATACTTGCTTTTTTATTTAGTCCCATTCACATCATTTGACATTCTATATGGAAAGAAATCCATTGTTGATTACAAATAAATAAGTGGATAAATAACAAAAAAAATTAAGCGATCTCAACGATGTGCATAAATGCAGACAAATATGATGTACGAGTTTATTTTTGTATCTGATTTTCGATCAATATGGGTCAATGCTACTGTGAATATGTAGGTCATCAATAGCGAATTAGTGGTCCAAGCACTTAGATTGCATTTCCTGGGTCTTGTTTTTGAAACTTTATCCCACGTACATCACTTCTGGCAGCCGAGTAGTACCAGTAGATCCTACAGTGGCTTAAATCCGAGTATGTAGACTTGTAAGTGATGAGTTACTTTAGCGAATTATTACTCACGTAGATTTTCTCATTTTCATACGATTAGGTTTGTATCTATTGACAGCGGCTGTTACCAATGTGCAATTAGCAAATGTTTTTGTAAAGTGTACATTGTTCTGTCATACTTGCATACTATACTTAGGCAACCACTCTGTCATTGTTTTCTGATATATTCGTCCTCAAAAGTCTTAAATATATTAAAGATCCAAGTGTCATCATGTGAGGAATAGTCTTTTAATATCATGTAACCATAAGCAAGGAATATCATATTTTTATCTGGTTCATCTTTAGAATGTGCAATATATAAAGCCCCTCTTTTCAACATATTGATAAGCATCAATATGAAAATCTTTCATGCAATGTGCCGTCACACTTTCCTTGGTTAGTGATAAGATAATTCGTTAGTCCTCAGTCACTATGTGCTTGTGAAACTCAAGTCTGATTTCACAAGCATTAGAAGTTAACTTCGTGAATGAACATATACACCATGTATGGCAATTTGAATTAAATCTGTGTGCATACACGTTCAGTCTTACTTTTTTGGACCCAATCGTTAATAGTTTTATATACCGCACTTTATTGTATATTTCAACTGTTTTTTATAATTTGTTAAAGGAATTAATTGACACCGCAATCAAGCTTGACACTTCTGATGCCCTATCCTATTATCTACGAGGTCGTTGGTGTTATGAGGTATGTAACTTGTTGCCATTCAGGACATTCTATTGCTCATAATAATTTAACTTGTTGAAAGCAGTTTTCTCACCATCCGTCGAGAAGGTACAAATATCTTATCGACGAAAACAGAATTTCAAACAAACCGATTTCCTCCCAAATTTTCCTTGTCACCCCTTTTGAACACTACCTATGTTGCATCTCAAACAATAAATTCTCAGTCCTTCTTTATACTTGGCTACTCTACATGCAATAATATTTCTCGTTCGTTAGAAGTTTTTGATAATACTTCGTGTCTTTACAGCTCTTAAAAAAGCCACTTTAGTACCATAGATTAATGCAGAAGACTTGTTCTTTCTCTAAAAAAAACTAGATAATACACTTTATCTACAGAATGTTAGACACATGCAATCAGTCAGCTACAAGGTAGGACGTCCAACAGTATCAATGACACATTCTCCTAACTGTTCTTGTTTTTCATTTTAATCCTAGGTGTATAATGTTTCGTGGATTGAGCGCCAGATTGCATCTAGGTTATTTGGCAAGCCTCCGACATCTACCATTGAGGAAGCTGAGACAGCATTTGAAAAGGTAAGCACAGATTTAAAGAATTTAGTTCAGTATTTATTAGCGTTCAACTTCCGTCTAATTAAGTTATTTCATTTGTTTGATTGAACAGGCTGAAGAATTGCGCCCAAACCACTACGCTGCACTGTACTTGTATCAAGCTAAATGTTCTTTGTCTTACTTAGATTACAAAACAGCACTGCAGAAATTAAACAAAGCTCGAGGCTTATTTGACCAACATAGATATCCTATACCACACACAGATATCGGTTCTGTACAACAAGAAGTAGATCAACTGTACGACAAGTACTCTGGATATCTATGAAATCATGTATATAGCGAAAAATATATATTACTTTAATTTATATATTTCTCATTGTTTCCATCAACTTAAGTTGTATCTTATTCAGAACGGAAATTTTGTGATATATACATAGTGCGTGAGAAATTACATATGATCAAGATATTCGTTTATAAATTTTAGCTTTCTTGGCTTTCTTATCAGATACACCAAATGGTTTATAACGCTTTTGGCCTGGATTTTCTCGTGTTCTCTTTGATTTTACATTCAAATCCACCTTGGGAGTAATTGATAGTCCACATGTTCTTGCTGTTGCGGCCAAGTCTAGTTCATCTACATTGAAACAGCTTAGGCCAGACGAAGCGTAAGCACGAACTATACCTTTGAAGGCTTCCTGAGCAGAAAGAGCAAGGAAATAGTTGTTTTTGACCAACTTCTCCAGAGCTGGTTGCACATCCGCCATCTTTGAATTGGCTATTTCATACTCTACAACCTTAACTCGAGCTTTTCTTAGAATTGATAGGAATTCTAATTCATGAGGCCTCAACACTAGCAAAGCATTTCCCGTGCTGCCTGCTCGAGCTGTACGACCAACTCGATGTATATACTCTTTGGCGTCATCAGGTGGGTCATATTGTAAAATCCAGTCAACCTAATAAAAGTAATTCAGTAAACAATAATGTAACACGCATCAGAAAAATGAGACTATTACACTGAATATTCAAGAAGGCTTGAAGTAAAATACATCTTTTCTTTGAAGGATAAAGTGAGTGTGCAAAACACTAAGTAATTTGCTAATCGTTTAATTGATTATGATACATGCATAAATCTATTTATAAGAAAGGGAATAGGTCATAAGAACACATTGTGAGAATACGTTTGGAAATCTAGTCACGAGTCTGGCTCACGTAAATAAGGGTAGGGGTATCAACTCTTGACATTTTAACCAGGTACGTTACTAGCTCTGGGTACTCAAGTAGTATTCAGAACCCCAAACCACGCGTGTAGGTCCATCTAGCTGAATTTGATACATGAACTTTAGGGAAGCCCGTTAAGACTGGGAAACTTTTGTCATTAATGAGTGTTGTATCTAAGACGCTCGTATTTCCTATTTGTGGAACCATACTACCAAGCCAATCAATATAGCGACTTTTAGATATCTGCGCAAACGGCAGAAAATAGTGACAGCTGGTGGAGACAAAGCTGTTATGCCATCGTACGAGAATAACGTGTGGATGCAAAATTACATGAAGCACTTAGTGCTAGTGCAGATTCCGTCTGGAATGTCAATTGTTTTTCCCAAAGTTCACAGTAAATCTAGTTAAATAACGTCATTACTGACCCATAGGACGAAGGATATTATCATTTGTAAAGAACAGTTAAAGGCGTCAGGAATTTAACCTGGATGGTTTTCAGGAAGTTATGTCAGCATTGCAGAAAATGTTTACACATTATTAAAGACAACGAGAAGACGGCCGCAAAAGTATTTATGACTCGATAAAAAATTCTAACATGCCGACCCTACGAGTGAGCTTTTGTAGAAAAAGAATGGTCTGTGATATAAAGAATCTATCATGAAGCGTGATAAACTTATAAAGCTGTGTAAAAACGATATATCCACTTAGTTTTCAATAGCTGCTTTTGATTTTAGCTACTTGTATATTTATTAGCTGAGGTATCCAAAATTAAAGGTAATTATCAGTGTCGCACAGGTTTAACAGTATGGTAAGTTTTCACCCATTATTCCAGCGAGGTACTGTGAATTCATCTGATATATTGGTAGTAAATGCATGTTTTCTATGCACTTATTAAAAGGGAACTACGAATTTGTTATCTCGGATTAAGGTCTAGGGTACAGTGCAGTTTTCTTTAAACATTTGCTTATGGGTTGTTCAAAACAAAAACCGGTGGAAAAAACTGTCTTTGCATCATTTTTAACCGCAACGGATTTCAGTTAATATACACTCGAAGATGAGTTTACTTCTAAGTAAATGACCAATTGCGTTCAAAAGATATTATGAAGCTAGCTGGGGACTTGCACATCACAGTGATACGATGCCCGTTAATTAACCCATATTGATTGGAGAATGAGTAACAAATGAACTAATTTCCTCCAATTGTCAATGACTACTATGTCTATTCATCTGGTTCGTAGTTTTACCTTTGATTTCTGATCATTAGGGGGCTTAAAACAATAATAACGTCTCGTGAATAGCCATCATTCAGCTGCCTCACATCATTGGATTAACAGCCTACATACAGTTTGACAACCAAAAATCCGCTCATCTCCTATAACGCACATTAAACGATGGAAACCAAGGTAACCGAAAGAAAAATATCAAGATGCTAAGCATAAATAATATAGCTCGGAAAACTAATGAAATAAAGGAATCTTAGGCGAGACCATTGTTGAAATCCAATATTTACCAGTAGCTAAAAAAGGGATATGACTGGCCACCTTAAATGGTCCAGTTTACTATTTCTATCTAGTAGCTGAAGTGTCTTTTATATGCTATTTACTCAGCTGTTTTACATACACAATGATATACATGATGAAATGTAACTTCAGCATATCTACGCATAGAGCGGCTGTGTAATGACCTTCACTTTGATGGACAGACGACCATTTTACTATCAGTACTTGTAAGCGTTATCCTCAAGCAGAAATATACAATATGTTTATTTCGTTTAGCCCAATACTTAGAAAAAATATTTCCATCTACAGAGAGCTCTGGCGGCAGGCACCTAGTGAATGTAGTCCACTCAAATAACAGTATACCGCAAATCGCGATCACATTTCGAGTACTAGGTCTTCATTAAGTTGGTTAATTTACGAAAAAAACTTTCTCATTGACAGATAGCCTCATGGAACATTCGGTTTTGTATGGCTAGTCACTGCTAGACATTTTCGTAATACTGTTATTTCAACAAGAGAAGCAAACCAATCGAAAACCTACCTTTGGTATGTCTAAACCGCGCGCTCCGACGTCAGTACACAAAAGAACAGCAGACTCAGCTTTTACAAACTGAAGAAAGGTGCTTGTCCTTTTAGCTTGTTTTTGTCGTCCATGGATGGCTAGGACTGGAGTATCCACAAAGTTCAGCAACTCGTAGTAAAACTTGACTTCCATGCAGGAAGCCATGAAAACCATAATCTGAAACGTGTAGAAAAGTATGTGGGTTGTTGACTAGTGAGGTGACTGGGAGTGTGAAAATAATTTTCAACCTTAATGATGTCATTGGTGCCAAACAAACGTTATATCTGTGAACATACTTGGCTGATTCGCAATTCTTGGTCACAATACCATATTGTTTATCACATGTTCACTATTTAAACTCAAAATAAACTAGACGACATAAGATAGACTCATCTTAAGGATTCAAGCGAAGATAATCGCTGGAACTCTCGATCGAGATCTGGGAGACACCATAATTTATGGACGAATCAATCAGACGAGTCTGAGATTTTGGTGCGGAATTTACCCATCCATTTGGCAAAACAGCGTTTTGGCATTATAGCTAGCGTTGGTTCGCGATGAAAACCAATAAATCAAATTACTAACCATCAACTGTTAATCATAATTCTAATTCCTCACACTTTTACAACCCTCTATTAAACCTAGTTAATAGGTGGACATCCTCAAGATCACTTTAGCGTCGCTCAAACGTCGTTTGAGACAGAAATATCGAGTTTCGTTAAAATAATGTCAGCTGCTCTTGGACATCCAGAGACAAGCATGCAGTCTTCAGGAACGCCAAGAAGTTAATTAAAGCAATAGCCCAAGTAAATAATTTGATTAACTATGCTAGACTACAACCTATGAATACGGTAGAATTCATAACAGTGAGAATATTGTGAAGAAACTTCCCCAGAAAAACCCATGTATCTAGTGTTTATTAGTGAGTCTCTACACTGAATGATTCCGTGTAAAACACAAACTTGACGAAGCGAAAGATACGAAGGAATGGTTAATCATATTAATGAATAGCAATATTAGGGTATTCTCGAAATTACCTTTTTACTTTTATTTTTCTTGAGAAATGTGTACAGTAGACAAAAACGCCTATCAGGAGGGCAGACAACATACCCTTGTTCCAATCCCTCAACTGTTGCTTCATTATCAGGAGCTGATCCGACCATAACACAAGAAGCTTTAAGCGCAGCGTTGGCTAGGTTTTTCGTCTTTTCGTTCAAGGTAGCAGAAAACAGCATCGTTTGCCGTACCGTCGGGAGAAGTTTTATAATTTGTCGCATTTCCACTTCGAAACCTATATCCAACAAACGATCAGCTTCATCGATTACAAGAGCTTTAAGATTATGACGGAGGAAGAACTTTGTGTTTGACAAATGATCTAGCAGTCTTCCCGGAGTTGCAACGAGGATTGTCACACCTTTTTCAAGATTCTGAGCTTCAGTTTGTCGGTTGCTACCACCCATAATGAGGCCAATTCGTAAATTCGTGAATTGAATGAGTTCCTAATTATAAAATACACTACAAAAACTTAAAATCTTACTCCCAACACACCATACGTCTGAAGACTAAGTTCACGAGTAGGTGAAATGATTATGGCACCAGTACCATTACGAGGTTGCAGACCCAAGTTTAGCATCAGTTCCACAACAGGTATTAAGAAAGCTAGTGTTTTACCACTCCCAGTTTTAGCACAGGCCATCAGATCCCTGTGCTCAAGCAGCTGTGGAATACATTTATCTTGGATATCGGTCATATGTGTGAAGCCCATTTCCTTGACAGCACGCTTAATTGGCTCTGATATAGGCAAATCTTCAAATTTTCCAGACAATGAGATACTCGTGCCAGGCTGTGACTCTTCTAAATTATCCAACGCGGCATCCCCACTATCGATTTGTTCTTCAGTGCTTTTTTGTCGAATTTTCTTGAGTCTTTTCTTCAGCTTTTTCGTAGGCGAGAACTCCCTCATCATGCGACAATCGGAACAATTCAGGCGCTTTATTACATAACCTTGAGATTTTCACTGCCAGTCACTGTTAAATATTCCAGATACAGTTCACAGTGGTGATGATTGCAAGTTAACCTTGGTACCTAATACTCT